TTTTTTTTCCTCTCCCTTTCTCGCAAGTGCTAAGTGCTTGTCCGCCGCGTCTAGCCGTGGGCAGCTAGAAAGCGGCGTGAAGAGAAGCGAAGAGACTGTCCTCCAGCCGGCTCGACGTCTCGTTCGTGATCAATACGATATTGACCATTGCTGGCCGCGGGGAAAACCAGTGTAGATAGCAGCGGAAGCAGAATAATATCATATTCTGCTTCCTCTTCATTCCCGGCAAAACTTTTCGAGTCGATGAGAAGCTCTGGCTGATTCAGTGGATCCTGGTAGAGTTTAACTCTATACTTTACCCAGGTCCGTGGAAGCAGATTCGCACTTCTGCCTCGAGTCAAGTCTCTGGTAACAATCTCCACACAAAGTCTCAGGTCCTAGAACGCCTCGCGGCCGGCAGCTAGTCACGCCATCATGCAACGGACAGAAATGCCGAACAAGCTAAAACCGGAGCTCCGAACAAGACGTCCCTCTGTATGTCTGTATGTACTGTATGGACATAAATATGAAGTTAGAAGGTGAAGCGGGAGTGATCGTTTGTTAACGAAAACTACCTCGGCTGTTGATGGGCCGCGATTTCAGCAGCAAAAGCACGGAGGCAAGTACTTGGCTACAGGATCAAAAGGACTTTTTCATATCCCTCGTATCTGGAGCGGCTGCGGATTTCCGGTCATCATGCCGATATCAGGATGGGAATGAGAAAAGTCGCGCTCTGATTTGATATTTCTCGCCGACGGGCAGGCAGAAGAATCGGCCCACAGGCCTCGACGGGCTCCGCAAAAAGTATACAGAGTGCGATCGAGAAGGGTCCTTGTTAGTTCGGGTCCCGCGTCCCAAGCCTTGGGTGGCGTTGCTTCTTCGACGCCAACGGGAGGGAAGGGAGCTTTCCAGCAGTGAACGCGGAATTTAACGGCTCTGCATAGCTACTGCACGGGCATCAAGTAACTATTAGTTAAAACTGACTAGAAACGTAGCTGCATGGCTGGCTCGAGAGGTAGTTATCCTCGGGTGCTGGGGATAACTCTCCATCGGCCAGCAAGATAGCCGCGCGGAGCGTTCTCGAGAGCTGGTTTTATCTGAAGAAAGCCCTTTACGAGAGAGCGAAGAAGGAAGAAATCTCGAAACCGTGGCTTTTGAACTAGCTCGACCCACAGGTACATAGTATCAAGGGCCTCTCTGGTCGAAATTTGATTCGATTCGATTGTGAGATCCGCGATGGCGCTCCCTCATGATGTGAACGTGATATTTCCGCTATACCAGTCCAATCGTGATACAGGTAGGGGGTTCTCTGTGGACGGAGTAGAGTAGAGAGGAGGACGGAATCAGATGAATTCCACCGCAAGGGACGAGAAGCTGCTAGAGAGATGAAGAGCACAAAGCTGCTTCAGCGCCAGGCCGTCTGACTGGTCAACCGGTAATCTATCCTTCATCGCGACTGGATCGACTATCACGAACCCGACATCGGCTCTCGCGTGCACAAGCTCCCCCACTGCTGCCGGGCTCAAGTGCCAGCTCCACGCGCGAGTCTCGTCTTGTTCCCCGGGTTTTCCCCAGAGCAGCCATCGCCTCTTGTCCCTTTTCTTTTTTCCCTCTTTTTTTTTTGCGGAGATACCCAACACTGGGTTAAACCAGGTAGACCGCGAAGGCGCTATCTGTGCGCTCCAGCTGGTTAGTTTTAGTAGAAGTTATTTCTCTCCAGCTGTTGCGGCCCATGCCAGCCCACCGTATATTATATACCCGTCCTCCGCCTGTCTCTTCTTCTTCTTCTTCCTCCTCTTCCTTTTCTCTTCCTTCTCCTCCCTTCCCGTCTCTTCGTCGACGTCGCAGGGAACTGGGCGGGTGAAAAGGATCCCCTTCTTGCATCGCACGCACCATGAGCAACAAGTTTATTGAGTACTTGCGCGGAAAGGAGAGCAGGCCTGGCGAGGCTGCTCTCCTGCGCAAACTCGACTTCTTCATCCTGACCTTCTGCTGTCTCATGTACTTTGCCAACTATGTGAGTATTGGATCTTTGAGAAAAAAAGGGAAAAAGAAAATAGAAAGTAATTAGACGAGGGGGCGATTCTGACGATGGTATAGCTTGACCGATCCAACCTCGCCAATGCCTACGTCTCTGGCATGAAGGAGGACTTGAACTTCCAGGGAAACCAATTTAACATCATCAACACCGTCTTCACTGTCGGGTACGTTTAATTCTCTTTTGGGCCTTTTTTTTTTTTTTTTAATTTTCATCTTGCTCTCTCCGTTTTCTTCTATATCTAGCTAACATCGCTGCATAGATACATTCTCGGCCAGGTCCCCTCCAACCTGGCCCTCTATTACCTCAAACCAAGAATCTTCTTCCCCAGCATGATGCTGGTCTGGGGCGGCCTGACCATGGTCACCGCCGCTGTCAAGAACCCCCAGGGCATCATGGCCATCCGCTTCTTCCTGGGTCTGGCTGAATCCTCCACTTTCGTCGGAACCCACTACATCCTGGGCTCCTGGTACACGGAGCGAGAGCTGGGCAAGCGCAGCGGTATCTTCACTGCCTCCGGCCTGGCAGGAACCATGTTTGGCGGGTTCATCCAGACCGGTATCAATTCTTCCCTGCACGGCGCACGGGGTATGCCTGGTTGGAGATGGTTGTTCATTGTAAGTCTCACAGGTCCACCAAAAAAAAAAAAAAAAAGGAAAAAGAAAAAAAAAGGCGGGAGAGAGAGCAAGTAGTCTAACTATTCTGTGACTGTTAGATTGACGGCCTCATCACCGTCCCCATCGCTCTCTACGGCCTGTTCCTCTTCCCCGACACCCCGAGCACCACCAGGGCTCCCTACCTAACCGAGGCGGACAAGGCCCTCGCCATCGCCCGTGTCCCCGAACGCAGCGCCGAGCGTACTCGCATCGACTGGGCATTCGCCAAGCGCGTCTTCTCCTCCTGGCACTGGTACGGCTTCGTCATGCTCTGGGTCATCGCCGGTGAGACCGAGTCGTTCTCCACCAACTCCCTCCTCGCCCTGTACATGAAAGCCCACCCCACCCACAAATACACCATCGCGCAGATGAACAACTACCCGTCCGGCGTGCCCGCCGTCGGCATCGTCTCCACGCTCTTCTGGGCCACTTTGACCGATTTCCTCGGCGGGAAGCGATACCTCGTCGGCTTCTGGATCGGGATCACAGGCGTCGCCACGTCCGCTATGATCCTGGCGCCGGGTTCATCCACGGCCACCATCTTCGGGGCGTACTACTGGGCTGGTTCCGTGTACGCCTGCCAGGCTACCTTCTTCGCCTGGGCCAACGACGTGATGCGGTACAAGGACGATGCCCTGCGTAGCGTGGTGATTGCCAGCATGAACATGGGCAGCAACGTGATCAATGCCTGGTGGAGCATTCTCTTCTACCCCGCGGATACCGCTCCGTACTTTACTGTAAGTCGTCCTTTTTGTCTGTTTTTATATTTTTTGCTGTTAGTTTTCTGGGAGACGAGTCAGACTAACCTTTCGACCACAGAGAGGTATGTGGGCGATGATTGCGTGCTCGATCGCCATGGCGATCTGGACCGCAGGTCTCCTGTACATGTCCGTCCGGGAAGAGAAGAGAGAGGCTCGTCAAAACGAGATCACTGCCGAGAAGGTTGTAGTTGACGTTGACGAGAAGGTATAGCAGCAAGCCGAAAATGCAGCGTGTGTATATGTATGTACTGTTTGAGCAAATATTATGATATATGAGATTCCGTAATCCTTTTCCTTTTCCCTTTTTTTTTTCTTTTTTCCGTCAACATCATCGTTGTTGTAGTCGTCGTCATCACGATCGCCGACGTATCCCGAAATGTGTCGTTGTAGACCTGGGAAAAAACGAGATGCGAGATGCAAGATGCAATCCTGTTCGAGTGAACGGACCTATGGGGTTATATCTTGTGTCCATGGGCAGAAGGACTGGTTTTCAGGTTTTCGAGAGTGCCTCAAAAAAAAAAAAAAAAAAAAAAAAAAAAAAAAAAGAGCAAAAAGAAACTGGAAAAAAGAAAAGTAAGGTAACAAAATGTCGAGCTGACAGGGAGCAAACCAAGCCACCTCGTCCATCTGAAACGGACGATCATGCAGCTAAAAAGAAACAAAAGAAGAGAAAAAGCAAGGAAAAAATAGAAAAGAAAAAGAAAAGAAAAAAAAAAAAGAGGCTTCATAGCCAGGAGGCAGAGCAGATAAGAAAAATTAAAAAAAGAACACGACTTCGTGATCGAGAAAAGACGATCGACATTAAAACGAGCTGTGTGGCAAGGCTCAGCTTCGCCAACTTTTCTCATCTTGTTTGATTTATTTTTATTATTATTATTATCATTATTTTCTTTCGTCGAAGGATTTGCAGCTAGTTGTCGGCCTGCAGCCTTACGAGACGGAGCACACCATCTCGAGAAGCAGTTTAAAAAAAAAAAAAAAAAGAAACACCAGCTTGGCGAGTTGTACAGCATGGGGATGGTTGGACCGTTCCGAGGCTGCACAGATCGAGAGTCAGTGCGTCAAATTCGACGGCAGCCCGTCAACTGGACATGAGTTGTTATCGCTTGTTGTAACAGATTGTCTGCGGATGCTTGACAGGGTGAGTAGGTGATAAGGATAGACAAGAAGAAAAAAAGAAAAGAAAAAAAAAAAAGGATGAGAAGAGGGTACAAGAGAAGATAAGGAAAAAAAGAAGAAGAAGAAGAAGATACTGTAAGACAAAAAAGAAAAGGAGAAGACAAGACACACTGGCGTCTCGTGTCCGGGCGGCAGGCGGCGCATCCCGGTCTCTCGTGTGTGTGTGTGTGTGTGTGTGTGCATCTCAACTCTGTAACTGCATATCTCACTCACGCGCATTTTCCCTCGTATGTATGGGATGGGGATCAGGGATGGAGGGCGCTGGGCGGCATGGCGGAGATGCAGCGTCGACAAACGCGTGCGTGCCTTGCGCCACAGGGATACGGACTTTCGATCTGCACGTCAGCGAAGGGCCAAGTTTCTTTTTTTTTTTCTGTATCTGGCGAATCAAACCTGCATGGCTGAGGAAGACGAGAGGGTGATGCCGACGATTTGCGAGGGAGATTTTGGCCCGACTGGATGTTCGCTGCCATCGTCGCCATCGCCATCGCCATCGCCCCGGTGGGATGAATCAAGTGACTGGACATGTCTCAAGGTTACCGAGCTGATCCGCCGTGGAAAATGGCTGAACCACTGCTTCGTCTTCTAGATTAATTGGATTTTAATTTATTTTATTTTTTTTTCCCTATATTTTCTGTTATTAATGAATTCTCTGCGGCCTTTGGAATCAAACGTGAGTCTTGTCTCTGAATCGAAACACAAGTTTTGCCAGCGACAGGCATCTTTTTCACCTTGTCTGTCACGTTTTTCCCTCGGCAGTTGAGGAGTTCGTACGGAATAGTTAACTAGTTAATTATGTACATACATAGATGACTAACCGACTAGCCAGCAATCCCTGCGAGATCGAAGATTGATTGATCGCTGCTCGCCTCGTGTGGTGATTGTCGTGACTTGACATGGGTTATGATGTATGTACGTCTAACTAATGGAGTTTGTGGAGTTGGTCATGGTTTGTGGGCCGACGGCCGAAAGAAAAAAAAAAAAAGAGAAAAGTAGAAGAACAGGAAAAAAGGGTCCCAGCAACCAAGTAACCGACTAACCTAATCGATCTGTAACCCGGACGAACAGAGAGGGAGAAGAGAGCGTGGGAGAGAGGGGGATAAGAGAGACCGTGCTGATCGCAGAATGGCATGCGGGCTGACGTCGGTCCCTTGTCGTGGGTGGCATCGCGTTATGTAACCGAATGAGCAGCCGATTCAGTTGGCCACCGAGACAAGAGATGGGGAGAGAGAGAGGAGAGTGTGCGGAGTCGACGGGAGGGGGGTTTTTTGGTCCTTGCCGGGCTGGCCGGGCCGGATTGACGAGCAGACCGGCTTCGAGTTCCTGGAAATCCTCGCGTGGCAGCCGGCCGGGAAGCCGCAGATACACAGAGAGATACAGAGAGAGAGAGAGAGAGGGAGGGGAGAGTGACGGGGGTGTGCAGAGAAGATACTTCGAGAACAGGGCATGGAAGGGGAGCGAAAGAAAAAAGTAAAAAAAAAAGGTAAGAAAAAGTCAAAAAATAAAGCCAAAAAAAAAAAGAAAAGAAAAGAAAAGAAAAGAAAAAAACAACGAAAACAGAACGCCATCCGAGGAGGTTGACTCCTGAACTGTGCGTATGTGTGTACCTTACGATCTACACGAGCCGGGGGCTGGCTGTTTTATCATTGACCGGGGGGGATGCAGTCTGTGAACAGGGCTCATCCCGGCAGGGCGAAGTAGAAGAAGAAGAACAGAAGAGAAGAGAAGACGGCAAAAAAAGCAAAGGTTCGAGATGGAAACAGGGGGGCAGCGCAGAGAGGCAGAGAGAGAGCATAGCCAGTTTGTTGTCAAGTCTGCATGTATGTATTTTTTTTTTGATTTTGACATATTCAGATCAAAACACGCCAGATGACGCTGCGGAGAGCGAAGAAAGTGGCCAGTTGAAGACGGGTTTAAAAATGATAATAATAATATAATAATTATCAAATAAAAAAGACACGAGGATGTAAAAATGTGGTGATGCTTGACGGTCGACGGCGCGGTGGCTGATCGATCACTCGGCCGACTCAGAGACATCGCCAGCCAGGCCGAACTTCTCTTATTTTTATTATTTTTATTTTTTTTTTGGGTCTCTCACAAGTTCCTCCGCCTGTCTCTCTGGCTGTCTAAATCTGGCTAAATCGGTCCAACGGCGCAGGTCGCGATCCTTGCAAGGGGGGCTGATTATCACGGCCATTTGACTCACTCAGCTCTTCGTCTCTCTCTTTTCTCTCTGCTGGCTGCTGGCTGCTCTGTAAAAGAAAAGATAAAAAAAAATTAGTTGGTTATTTATTAAATTTTTTTTCATCTTCTTTTTTTCTTTTTACCTTTTCTCCCCCTTCAAAAAACCAGCGTCAAACAGGCTGATCCCGCTCGTCGATCTTGGCGACTTTTCCTTCGAGAACACCAAAAGGGAAAAAAAAAAAAAAAAGAAAAAAAAAGGAAATTCAACAATCAAAGATCAGATTGAAAAAAAAAAAAAAAATTCAAAACAAATAGAACAATTCAATTAGTGACAAGCGACACCAACCGAGACCGAAACGGGCAGCGTGGAGAATCCCCGGCCATCACCACCACCACCACTGCCGGCATCGTCATCTTCATCATCATCATCATCATCATAATTCATCGTCATTGTCACCGTCCCCGTCACGAGCATCATCAATCGTCGCCCCGTCCCTGTTGAAGCAGCCGAAGCCGAGCGAACCCTCGTCGACCAGAAACGATCCCGTCGCCAGCATCCCCGACCCCGGCCCGCCCGCTTAGACTCCCTTCATCATACATATATATAAGGGTGATTTGCTTGGCTGCGCGCTCCTGGCACGTCCAGCGTGTTGAACCGCCGCCGCCCCCCCCAGTCGCTCAAAGACAGCCTAATCTCCCGCCTTGAAACCCGTCTCATCACTCGTTGCATGGAGGATCGCCTCTGACTGTCTCTCACTCTTCACTCACTCTCCTCTCCTCTCCTCTCCTCTCTCTCTCTCTCTCTCTCTCTCTCTCACTCTCACAGCAAACCAAAACAACATCTCTACATCTTTCTCTCCTTTCCTTCCCCTCCCCCCAGAGAGGGCTGGGTCACCTTTTTCACCTCCCACTCGCAGTGATCTTCCCGGTGATCGCTCTGTCACTCATTAGTTCTTCTCTTCCCTCACTTTTTTTCGAATCTTCTCGTTCTTCCGTTATTCCACCGTTCTTTTATATATATATAAACTTTGTTTCTTCTTCGTGAGAAGAAAAGAAGACAGAGAAAAGAGAGTAATAATGAACCCGCAAGATTCATCCGTTAATGGCGCTGCGCCCAAGGCCCAGTCGCAGTCTACACAGGCAGACCCCAATGCCCGCACAACCATACTTCCCCCGACCTACGACGAGTTTCCAGACGAGAAGAAGGCCAGACGGAGAGATGACTGGATTGCCATCGCAAACTTCCATCCCGGGTAAGACTCCATATCCAATCCGATCCAATCCGATCCAATCCTTGGGCAGGATGAGTAGGAAAACGTTCAGCCTGCCGAAGGAGGGAAAAGAATGAAATGAAAAGATCTCGAAGGCTGACTGCGAGATGAACAAAACCAACAGCTGGTTCGCCGCCAACATGGGAACTGGAATCACTGCCATCCTCTTGGAGAGACTGCCGTTCCAATTTCCTGGCCTGCACTACATCGCCGTCGCTATCTTCATCCTCAACATCGCCCTCTTCACCCTCTTCCTCGCCATCTCCATCGTGCGCTATGGCCTCTGGCCAGAGAAGTTCAAGCAGATGCTCGCCCATCCCGCCCACTCCATGATGCTCGGCACCTTTCCCATGGGCTTCGCCACCATCATCAACTTGACCGTCTTCATCTGCGTGCCCATGTGGGGTGACTGGGCCGCAACCATGGCCTGGATAATGTGGTGGATCGACGCTGCCGTTAGCATCTTCACCTGCTATTATGTTCCATTCGTTCTGTATGTCGAAATCTCTTTTTTCCTTTTTTTTTTTCCCTCTTTTTTTCCCCTTGTTCTTTTGCTGACTAGTAGTGTTCAGAACAACCGTTCATCCCGCCAAGCTGGAAACGATGACCGCCGCATGGCTTCTTCCCATTGTAGCACCGGTCGTCGCGGCGGCTTCGGGCGGCGTCGTCGCTGAGGTCCTGCCAAACGACTCCCACGCCATGCTGACCGTCATCTTCTGCTATATCATGTGGGGTTCGGCCGTGCCATTCGCCATGGTCATCATCGTCATCTATTTCCAGAGACTGGCTCTGCACAAGGTCGTCCCCTCAGCTGTCATCGTCAGTACTTTGCTTCCCGTTGGTCCCCTTGGCCAAGGAGGATTTGGGTGAGTTCAATTTCCCCCGTCCAAAAAACTTTCTTTTGTCATCGGAAGAATCGCATCTAACCTGTGAGTAGCATCATGCAACTTGGAATCGTGGCAAAGAGAGTCTTCCCAACAGTAAGTGTTTCATTGTTTTCTTATTTTTTTTCTTTTTTTTCCAGCCTACCTTGAGTCATCCTGTCTGAGGCGGACACTGATATTTGTTTTCTCTTTGCTGTGCAGTCCGAGGTCCTGTCGCCTCTTGCCGGTGAGATCTTCTATGCGGTCGGAGTCTTCATCGCCCTGGTGATGTGGGGTTTCGGCCTGGTCTGGCTGTGGTTCGCCGCCGCCTCCTTTGCCCGCGGCCCGTTCCCGTTCAACCTGGGATGGTGGGCGTTTACTTTCCCGATCGGTAAGTCGGGACAATGTCCCTCTCTCTGTGTCTCTTTTGGGCTCCTCGACTGACATGGTGATGCGACAGGTGTGTTCACAACCGCATGCACCCTGTTCGGAAAGGAATTCAACTCGGTGGTCTTCAACATCATTGGAACAGTAAGCTTGCTCCCTTTGTCCCCGGTGGGGTTGAGTCTCTCCTCTCTTCAGGCTACTGACCAGTGCATGCAGATTCTCTCCGTGTGCGTAACCCTGCTCTGGATCATGGTCTTTGGCTTCACCATCTGGAAGTCGTGCACCAAGGAGCTCTTTAGACTATAGACGAAAGGACGATGTAATGCCCCCAAAAAAAAAAGAGAAAGGAGAAACCCGAAACTGACGCACATGAAAGAGGCAGCTGGGCAAAAGGCAGAAATGCATTTTTTTGTATACACCGGCGGCATATACACATGCAGTATGTAGATATTCCTTTTGGCTGCTTCAACACAACACACAAACACACGAAAACACACACGCACATATACCACAAACACACTGCAGGATCAGTCTTCTTTGTTGTACATACATCTGGATAAGTTGTGATTTTTTTTTTTTTTTTTTTTAATTTTTCTTTTTAGAAACAAGAACATGCATTTTTGAGTGGTTTGAAACAGAGTCCCGTAGCGTTCCCTCTGTAGACGAGCGAGAGGAGGAAAAGAGCAGCAGAAGTGAAGGAGAGAAGTGAAGAAAAAGGTTGAAGGAAAAAAAAAGATGAAGAGAAAAGAAAAGGAGAAAAGGAGGAGAAGAAGGAGAAGAAGAAGAGCAGCGTGGGACAGAAAGGCGAGAAAGATCCGCGCCCCAGAGCTGCTTTTTAGGCGCCGATTGCGTGATCGTCGGGACTGCTTGGCTCAGCGGCGTCCACTAGTTGACGCCCAGCGAGCGATAGACACAACAACAAAGACAAACATGGCGTCAAACCACACAGAATAACTCACAATTTTTACGGGACAGAGATGGTGGGAGGCATTCCTGGGGTTTAATACCCTCCGAAAAGAAAAAAAGAAACAAAATATCCCCCTCCCCAAGAGCCGACTTTGCTTTTTTTCACATCTGGCGGTGAGTCGAGCGAGGTTGCTGATCCCTGGCATTATGAGCATGAATCGTGCTCTTTGTCGCGCTGGACATGTCCGTCCGTCCTTGGGCCACCCAAGGGTTCCTTCAGTCCCAACCACATGATGAACTACATGGATTCACCTCCCAATCACTGGGTGCAATTCTCCGTCGCTCACTCTTGGCTCTTCCCGCGTCGACTGCCCAGGGATTGCGCCCGGGGGAACCAATGACGACCGGATGCCAGCTCGACGGCCAGCGACCTGATGCTTGAAAGGCGGCACGACGGCCGCCGAGGCTCGCCTGGGCAGTGCTGTCATTGGCCTGGTAGCTATCCCTCGTCCAGCAAGGGTGATGCGGGAAAGAAGAAAAAAAAAAAACAACCAAGATGACGATGATGATGCTGGCGACTGGCGATGATGAAATTCCCCCCCGTTGACTGGGCGGTTTGAGCTGTCACTGGCTCTTGCATATCGTGTAACGGTGGAAACACACACACATCGTGTCTTGGTTCTCTGTCCAGGCCCAACGGGTTTGGACGGGAGACAGTGGCACATCGAGATTCGCACGCTGCTTTTTTGGATCGGTCAAAAGGTTGGCTGGGAAGACTCTTTGTTCTGGTAACTATCTACGGAGTACTCCGTAACATACAGACGAAAATCAAGAGACTGAGAAGAGAAATCACCCCTCCATTCCTGACGGGCATAGCAGACATAATAACTTCTGGCAGGGATCGAAAGCCCAGCTTGTATTCCCCATCATCCCGCGTGCCCCCTAATCTTTCCATCTCCCTTGATAATATCCAGATCCACGGCCGAAAAGGGATATATGGCAGCGAAGGCTTTAGCCTGTTGGGCGGTCAGAACCATCATCTTGTGAATAATACCCGATTTCTTGTTCTGTCAAACTTACCCTCCCTCGGGTCAGGGCCGCTGCCACACATGCCGCTCAGGGGAGCGTATGGGCCTTTACATTCACGAAGTGGCCCCTCTGTGATCATGGGGTCATTTGGGTACTGGAGATCGTCTTGTCAGCTCACAGAAGTCTCTTTTCGAAGCAAACGCTTGGTCGAGGTTGTGTGTAGCTTACCTTGGGGAAGTTTTCCCAATTTCCACCAGTCACCTTGGCGCTAACGCTGGCGGTGAGAGTGAGAGCGATCAGGCTGAAAATCGTGGTGGCTTTCATTCTGGAAGTTGACGCTTGGGGTCTCGGATTCAAGTCAATCTGACTATGGGCTGAATGGGCTGAATGCACTGTTTGTCCTGTTGCGATGATGATTTCCTCCCTTGTTCTCCTTCTCGAGGGGAGACATGCTCGCAATATTTATACCCTCAAGCTTCCCATCGATCGTGGAGATGAAGCTTGGAGTATCTCTCTGGATAGTGGAACCAAACTTCAGATCTCCCCAGGCGTCATTTTCTCGGCGGGATCCAATTATCGCTGGGATATTTGATCCATCCTGGACCTCGAAGCACATCGTCGGTGAGAAATAGCTCTCCCCACGGGGAAAGGTTAGTGAGGCGCCATTGACCTGGTGGAGTGATTTCGATGTCATGGACGAGCACAGACATGTTTTTGCTTTTAAAACGTCCAATATAAGGACAGAAAATCCCGCAAGAAGTGAGTCAGGAGATTTGATTTTGAGGGATTAAGGTGAACGAGGGAAGCGTTATAACTATATCACCACGATGCTTCTTGAGAAACACTACCGCTAGAGATGCATAGCATTGCTTGCAACTAACCACGGCATAGAGTGATAATGACCGAAAAAACATATAACAGGCCCTCTACGACCTTTCGTACAGCTTCTGGTGTGTCTCAGTGCAGCTGGTGAGGAGATGAAGTGACGATAGCGTTATCGCCCTTTGTCCTCGACGGCCGAGGATCTCGCCAATGACCGTCTGAGTCCGGACTGCTGGGCTGTTGGACTCCATACCATTCCGCAATGTTTCATAGCTCAGTAGCATTTGGCCGTTGAGCCAGACTTCTCGAGGGGTTGTTGATAGTCGCTAAATATCCAATTGTGATGTAGCATATCTTAGACCTTTGATTGCAGCGGACATTCACTTGTATGTATGTACAGTACATGCGGTTAATTCTGCGCCATTAAGGGTTCTTCCAAAGCACTGGTCTGGTTTTCCGGGCCAGCCCACCGTGAGATTTGTATCTGTGACTGGCCTCCCGGTGAGTAAATAGCATTTCGTATTGAAAGAGAGCAAATTGGAAAGCATCAAAAACGCCCGGCTTTAACGGTTCAACCCCGCGATGTCATTACATCATTCTCGATGTTCTCGCCGCATCTCCCCGCTGCCATTCGCGACTCTCATCAAAGAAATCATTCAATGACGCTGCTCAATCACCCTTAGTTACCAGTCGCTCGATTCAATTGCTCTCCAGATGTCAACCCTGCCATCCACGGACCCTCCTCCGCTCCCCGCCTCCACATCCTCACAGCAACCAGCCGTCCATATCCCGCCGCCCTCCTACCTTGATCCCACCACCTACCCACAGACCCTCTACCTCGACCCCGAGAGAATCTTCATCGAACTCACCTACCACCCCCTCTCCCCATCCACCTACCTCGCCCACACCCGCTCCCCTGCCGCCGGTGCAAACGTCCTCTTTCTCGGCACCACCCGCGACACCTTTGAAGACAAACCCGTCGCCCGACTCGCTTACACCAGCTACGCCCCACTGGCGCTGCGCACACTATCTTCCATCGCACGCGATGCCGTGGCCAAGCATGGCCTTTGCGGCGTGAGTATCGCCCACCGCCTAGGAGACGTGGCTGTTGGCGAGGAATCAATCGCGATCGCAATTAGCGCTCCGCATAGGGGTGCTGCGTGGAGAGCCGGAGAGGAGGTCCTGGAAGAGTGTAAGCGGAGAGTGGAGATCTGGAAGCGGGAGGAGTTTGTCGGGGAGCCGCCGGGACAGGGCGAGTGGAGGGCAAATAGGGACACGGATCCGGAGGGGAAATCGACATCATGACCATGTTCCTCGATGCTATCAGCAGAGGATGATCTTTTGACAAACCCTTTCTTTGGGTATATGGCCGCGCAATCTACAAAAGAAGAAAAGCAATAATCCAAATGAAGAATCGAGATGAGCTTCATTCGCGCAATAACGTACACGTCTACTGTACATACATAACCTATATATCAACCTCAAGTAACACGCGCAAAATCCCCAAACGCCGTTCTATGTACAGTCATGCATTATAAGTTGGGTTATCTAGAGAGGAGAATCGATTGAAACGAGAAACAACCTTCTTTTCTTTTCTTTTTCCCGCTCTTTTGTTACGCTCAGGGCTTGCTGGTATCCAACTCTCTGCCCTGTCTCTTCCAGTCCTTGATATGATCGAGGATAATATTTGCTGCGCTTTCGGGGGTATCCTGACGGCCGATACACTCCACGAAATCTCCTTCGGGGTCTATAGATAACACGTAATTAGCGACGTATCAAAAAGAGAACTGCCGTCAAGTAACACCTACCCATTAAGTAAAAGTAAATGCTGTGATCCACCAAATAATCCTCGCCCGGTTTGATATTCTCTGGCGTACTAAAGTAGACTCGGTACTGCTTGCACATGTTCTTCACTTGCTCATAGGTTCCAGTTAAGCCCAGGATGTCGCCGTGGAATTCTTTCAAGTAAGCTCGTAGTACTTCCGGTGTATCTCTCGCCGGGTCGCACGTCACGAAGATAGAGCGAAGTGGAGAGTTGCCTTTGGACTTCTCCTTGATGATGTCGATGATGGCAGCCATCTTGTCCAACTCGTCAGGGCAGATATCGGGGCAATGAGTAAATCCAAAGTAGATCTAAACCGTCGCGGTCAGAATATCGTGACACGGTCACACCAGGGAAAGCCCAGCGTCCAACTTACGAAATTATATTTCCCCTTCAACTGCTCCTCCGTAAACACGTTCCCATCCAGATCCTTCAAAATGAACGGTCCTCCGACCTTGGGTTTACCCACTCCCTTGCTCATCTGCACAATGCGCTCTCGCTCCAGTCGCGCCTTTTCATACTGGAAGTACACGATCATACCTGCGCCCGTGAGCACGAACAGCAGGGCCGCTTTCCATGAGAACGGACCCGTGGACGACCGGGCTTTGAGCTGCTGGATCGTCTTTGCGGGGAGAGCGGGGGTTGTCGAAAAAGCGCGATTGCCGCCTGGGCGAAGGATTGGGCTTGACTGGAGGGTTCGAGACTGCGATCTGGATGGCGCGAGTGATCTGAGCTGCGGTTGGCAAGCCAGGCGTGATGCGGGAGAGGACCGGGAAAGGCGGAAGGCCTGCCGGAGAGAATGGGAGATCGTCGTGGGAGTGAACGGAGATGCCATTGTTCTCTGTTATTCCGGCCTTTTTTTCGTATTATCTATCAGTATTTACACCAGCACGGTAGCTTTTCCTCTCCTCCAGCTTCGGCGCCGATGAAGAGCAACGTTCTTGTCTTTCTGTCTTTCTTTTTTGCCCGCGAAGTCGGATGATTATGTAAGACAATCACCACGGTTCCCGGGATAGCCTCATGCAGCGCGCCCCGGTGTCATCTTGGAACTATATCGATTCATCAATGTGAAAGGGGGAATCTACAAGTTGAGCGTCTAGCAGGAACAAGATGCTTCTCGCTATTTTGTCTTGTATATATGCTTCCTCCACCTTTTGCTTCTGATCTCATGATCTTTACATATAGTCAAACTCGAAATATTCCCCATCACCGCCACAGACATCATATTCTACATCTCTGCTCTGCTGCCATATTTGTAACGAGTCCAATGACCTTGTAGGGGATATAAAGCGTTGCTGCCATCTTCGTGCCGCAGCCATTATTTTCTCAGCGGAGAAAGCAAGCTACCTCTCCTCAGCTTCCAGAATTACGGTCGGAATGCTGATCGGTTCCGTATCGCCAGACGGTTTGCTGCTCACGGAATCTGGCACCCGAAGCGCAGCCACTGTCCTGTAAGGTCGTGATACATCATGTTCTCCTTCTTTTTCACTGGCCAATTTCTTCTCTAATTGCCTCCTCTCTTCGACAATAATTTCATTCACCCTTTGACGGGCATTTGTTTCAGCCCAGCCGAGTCTTGTCCGGTCAGAATAGGCGGCAGACTCCATCGTCGTCGACTTCGCACTTTTTCAAAATAAACTCCAGCGGGACAACTTCATTGGCCAAAAATCGAAGGTATAGGGGTAAAAGCACTTGGAGTGTTTTGTTTGGACGGCGCTGCTCGGGTTTCTTCGCTTCGAACAAATTTCCTTGCATCTCTCGAGGATTCTTCGATCTGGGCTCGCTTCCCGATTACTGTCTCCTTGAAGTTTTCCAAGCGTTGCATAAATGCGGAAATCTTTCCATATTGAAGACCGAACCGATCTGCAAGCGCCATATGTGCCATTTCTGGAAACTTCTCAATGAGCTGTTGGAGGCTCACTGAGGCGTATGGAACTTCCTGACCCTCGTCATCACTGTCATCTATATCGGGCTCAATAAGTTCCTCGCGAGTAACGTTGTAAAATAACGACAAAGACGTAAGCTGGGGCACTGTGTGATTTGAACATTAGCACTAGCGAAGATACTTCGAAGGATAGGAGAGCCGGATAACGAGAAGCGATTACATTTGCTGTGCTTTCTTAATTTCCAAAACTCGGACACGGTTTTTGGGAAGTTATCCGGAATACAATATGCGCCGTTACGATATACACCAACCGGCTCGAGGACTTTTCCACCTCTAGTTCCGTTTTGATTGATCATCATGGCACGTAGTTGACGTGCCGACGCATAGACAGAGCCGAATTGATCGTCCATGTACTCCCGTTGACATTTGAGCTCGTGGCCGAGATCGTCAAGCCGACCGCTTATCGTATCGAGCTGCCCATCGACCGCCCCGAACCGGCCACCGACAGCTTCAAAACGGTCATCGATCCCCTCGAGCCAGCGATATATGCTTTCAAACTTGCCATAGAGTGTTGTTAACTGATCGCTCATATCTTGAATTGGAATATCCATATAGTCACGTTGAACCTGAACTCTCCGATCAACTCTCGCTCCTGAAAAGACCCTGTGCTCTTCGAAGGCCCCAACAATAATGGCATATCCAGTGGCTCTCAACCCTTCCTTAAATAGCTCAAGACCTGGAGGAATACAGATGTCATGATGACCCTTGTCATAACCCTGTGGTTATCGCATCGCCTTGGGTTACGGGAAAGGCGGCCAGAGCGACAAGAGTGCAGCCTGATTGAATAAACAAGGCGAACCGAATTGTCCCTCGTTTGGCCACGTAGCCCACGAAGGTCCCTGGGCATAGGACGGCGCAGCAAATCCAAACGCCTTGTTATTTGAGGATATCCAGATCTCCTCTGTCCATGGATTTGCAGGCATGAAGATCTTTTGATTTTAGAGCAAGGATATCGGGCTGACAACATATACAAACTAACGAACTCTGTCGTAAGCAGGGGGCATAGGTGCATTATGCGTTTAGGCTTAAACTGTACATACATGCATTGCTCTGTGCATATTCATGTACTCTTCGTGAGTCCAGACCGCACAGCTGTAACGCTGATGCTGCAGAAAACTGAACCATGAAGCTCGAGCTATTAAATGTGAGCTTGCTGTCAGTGATTCAAAAAAAAAAAAAAAAAAAAAAAAAAAAAAGGAAGTACCAGTAACATCGAGAGCGGATCTCAGAAACTGAACTGGCGGATGCTGTGTCCTTCATCCGCACCTGCATGGCACTGAAAAGAGGTTTGGCATTTTCGACACAGCAGACTGTGGTCCCGCAGCATGCACAGCGCAGGAGACAGCAAAGATAAAAAGATGTTGAAAATGGATACCCTTTGATTCAGATAATCCGGAGCGCACAGGAAGATTAACTATTACAGTGATCTACAGTGCGAATAGGAGTCATTGTGTTGTCTTTTGTAATTCCTCCAAATAGAGGCTTCCAACAAACATGCAATTAAAATGTGAAATATTTTATTGTCACGACCAATTGAGAGAACGTTTATTATCAAGAATGCTACCACCAGAGTATGGGCCAAACAGCCACATCCATTTCTTAATTGGAAATATCATTTTAAGTTAAGATGATGAAATCAAACACCAAGAAATGCTTTCTAGAACATAAGGGGGTACTAGGGAAGTAAAGCAGAAAAATGAGGATTAAACAGGATAATGTATTTCTGCCTCCAAAAACACGACTGGTCCACTGTGCCAGAGGTCGGGGTTTCAGACACGCCAGATTAAACTCAAAAAAAAAAAAAAAAAAAGGAAAAAAAAAAAGAAAAAAGAAAACAATTCAAGTTGGTGGTTGAAGGGTGCTCAGGGCAAAAATTCAAATTGTTCTTATGGTCAAAAGATTCAGTGCCAGAGGCTTCTGGACTCGTCCCGTATCCGGAAACGGGACATGTTAGTTCGTGAAAAGACATGAAAAGACATGGGCAAAAGAAAAGAAACCCGCAAAATTTTTCAAGTCAGTTACAGTCGCAAGGCGTTCAAGGTCCCGGAACTTTCACTGGTCGACGTTTATTTGCCATTGTGTTTCGAAAAAGGTTCCTGCTAGACCTAGACCAGAATGTGCATGATATTTATTGCGATAGAGAGGGCTCTAGGGTAGCTCCTTGAATTTAGATGAACGATAAGGCGGACATATTGTTTCTGCGGGGGCGAAGATCTATCAGGGCATTCCACGGCTTGCTTGACTCGCACGGCTCGCGCTCGCTCGGCTCCGCTCATCCTCTTCCATGACGTCGCTCAACCTTGTCGGGTGCCGATGTCTTGATGTTACAGAATCCCAGGTTGGTCCCCAGCCGGATCCGCTGTAATCCGCAGGTGCGGGTCTATATCCACTGTGCATATTCCCTGCAGTTGTGCTTTGAGGATACTGTTGGCCGTATTGCTGCCCGTAATGCTCATCTTGCTCCAGCAGCTCTTCCTTGTCGTAATCGTCGCTATCCTCGGAGATCGTACGCGGATAGGAAAGTTCTCGACCGGGGAAATCAGGATGGTTTGTGATCTTAGGCTCGTAGTCGTCTGAGACTTCGCTCGTTCCCGCCTCACTGGAGGGAATGTATGACAGTTCACCGGCACCAGTGCCTGATCGAGGTTGGCCATGGAGCGCAGGTCCCTCGTGTTGGTAAAATCCTCTGGTTGGAGCCTGCGTGGTACTTGGTTTGGAACTCGGTGCAGAAGAAGTAGGTGCGGGAGGGAAGGCGTCAAATTTCGCAGCGTCAGGCTCGTGGTGAAGGTGAGACTGTTCCATACCGGTCTCTGGAGGAGCCTCGATTGCCTTTGGGGTAGAGACTTGGCTGTCGTAGGAATATTGGTCGGCTTGATCTGCCGGGTCGTGGGGGGTTTGGCCACCCATCGATGTTGCCCCTGGACCGCCTGGATATGGGCCTTCCCTGGTTTGAGGGCGGTGTGTGCTGGTTTGTCTGCTAGGGTAAGGCTGGACCATTGGCACGACCTGGACGCCGCCAACAACGGTAGGTTCTCCATTACGCAGCGACGCCGTACGCTCGCGTTCCTCTTGTTCACGGCGTCCGAGCTCTTCCCAAGCGCGCCGAGCTTCGTCTCGGGAAATCAACAATTCTCGACGCATTTCCCTCACGAGCTCTTCAGCTTTAGCCTTGTCCACCTCTGCTTGCTTCGCTGTCGTGATCGCTTCTTCTCGTCCTTGTCGCTCCGCTTCGAGAAGTCGCCGTAGCTCTGCTTGCATTTCTTGGGATCTCTCCTGCTCAGCACGGGTATCAAAGAACCAGCGCTGGAATTTTCTTTCTGAGGAGGCCCGTAGTCGTTGTAATTCGACGACGGCATGAAATAAATTAGCTCCGGCGGCGGACAGATCTGTAATCTGGCGAGACATCTGCTGACTGAGCGGGTCCTTGTTCAGGTCTTCGTTGTTTTGTTCCAAGCGACGGATCCAGTAGCTGGTGAGACCCTCCCAGTGCGAAGAGAGCATCTCCCAGCGCTCAAATGCATGCGGAAAGGGTCTACGTGGTTGTTGCTGCTGTTGTTGCGAGGCGGTTTGGGTCTGTGAAGCACTGGTGTCGGCTTGGCCAGCCTGCATCTTTGGCGCCTGGGTGCTGGGAAAGCTTCCTTGCGGAGCAGTTCGAGCAGAGCTATCGGGTGCCCTAGACTGCGATTGTCTAGATTGATGCGACGTCCCCGTTGAAGCGCGTTGCCTCGTGGACCGTTCTTGAGCGGCGCCCTCTCCGGCACGCCGGGGATTAGGATTGTCTCCAGAGGTCGGATGTACACCCTGGGATGTGTCTGCAGTACCTGGATCTTGGGGGAGAGGCACGTCCGGCGGACGAGACGCCGATCCCATGGCTGGTCGCCTGGCGGATGAAACCGGGGCCTCTCCAGCAACGCCAGCAGCTTGTTTCCGGCGTTCTTCTTGTGCAAGTCGATCTAGTTCTTGCTGCTCCAGTTCGTGTTTCCTTTTGATTCTGTCTAGTTCCTGTTGTTCTCGCTCTCGTTCTCGAGCTTCCAGTTCTGCCCTTTTCCTCGCCTCGCGATCGTTCCTTCGTCGCATGATTTCAATGGGGGTGCGCAAGCCGCTGGGGTTGGGCTGCGATGAAGCGGAGCCCCGCGCGGGCCCGTGGACCCCATTGTGGTGTGGTCTCCCATTACCGGTCGGCGCAGCGGTGGATATGCCTCCTTCCGCCATAAGCTCTGACATCGAGGCGTCGATTTCACCTGGAACCGGGGTGAAGGGGTAAGGCTTTCGAAGGGCCTCCTCGAGAACCCAGAGAATGGCAGAGGAAGTGCGGGAGGAAACGCGATTGCTCCGTGTTGGCCAGAAGGACTGGCTGGCAGGGTAATCGGTGGCAGAGCCGTCACCTTCTGCTGCAGGTGGGTGGGCGTCGGGATCTCGCAGGGAAGAGCTGCGGTGCCGGGAGTTGTGTAACTCGGCGAACCTCACCGGGGCAACGGCGGCAGCGGCGGCGGCAGCAGTAGCAGCAGCACGAGATTGTGCGGTGGCTGAGAGAGATCTAAAGTGTGCACGTCGTCTGAGGGAGGCGCGGGAGCTATCGGAGTTCGGAGATGTTGCATCAGAGGAGAACCGAGGGTGCAAAGGCGCGGAGGGAGGGATGGGGAGCGAAGAGTGCCTGTGGTGCTGCTGGCGTTGCGGTGAAGGGTTGGAGGTCGTGGTGATCGTAGCTGGGTCGTAAACGTCGTGGGGCTCGTGAGGGCGCGGAGGGAGTTGCCGTGACACGTTGAGAGTCGCGGATGGGGAGGACGGGGTGGATGTAGAGGCAGGGTGGGAGAGAGATTGAGAGGGAAGCGAGCGACTTAGGAGGCCCTATGAGGCGGGAGGAGCGGCTGGCGGGATCCAATTGCTGTGTGTGTGTGAGAAGAAGAGTCAGTCTCAGCGGGAGGTGGACGGGCAACCAAGCTCAGGGATTGTGACACCAACCTGGAGTTACATGAACTGACGTAAAGCATTGGACTGCCCGCTCCACAGAGGGCAGCAGGATGTGGTTTGATGGGCAGGTGGGAAAGTCAATAAATCAAGGACGACAAGGTGCAAGAGAAGGAGAAAAGAAGAAAAAAAAAAAAAAAAAAACAACGGAAGAATGAAACGGGGGTGGCAGACGGGGCGCTGTGAGGAGGTAAGTTGGGTGGCTGGTCGAATGGAGGTTGAAGGAAGACGACGAAAACGAAGCCGGAGAGAATTGCGATGGCTGGAGGAGAAGAAAAGAGAGAGAAGACGAACAGGAAGAGAGCAACAAGTCGCAACCTGATAAAACTTGCTGGCTGGCTGGTTATTATTCTTTTTTTCCTCCTTTATTTTTTATTTATTTATTTATTTATTTATTTTATTCTATTGTTTTCTTCTTCTTCTTCTTTTCTTTTTTCTCTTTCTTCCTCGTTTCTCTCACTTCCCCCTTTTTTTTTTCCCACTCTTCTCGGTGCAGCGCGTCGTTTCGACCCTCGAATGTCTCTCTTCTCTTGCAGCAGCAGCAGCAGTCGAGATGGCTGCCGTTTCACCCTCTCACCTCTCTGACTATGCAGCTGCAATTCTATTCGAGGCGGCTATTTGCCCTGCGTCATGGCCTTCATGCACCACCAGCTCAGATCGCGATATTCTGGCACAGCGTCCGGCAGCTCCCTGCTGAAACGGCGCCCTGGTGTGTGTGTATGTGTGTTTGTGTGTGAGAGCCTGGAAGAAACCTGCAGAAGCATCTAAACATTTTCAACATGGGTCACCATCAGGCCTCAAAAGCAGGCCGGCCGGGCCTTGGTCGTCGAGGCCACGGAGCAGCACTCTCGGCGATTGGGCAGCACGTCCAAGCTGCTGCTGGCCTTGCCGGGCTCCACCAATGTCTCGACAACACGCAGACAGTCGTCTCTCTTCGCTCCTGGGGGCGCGTCAATCCCACGACGACGACGACGGCACTCACCTTGATGCCTTCCACGGCGGTTTAAAGTCCCGTCGCAGACCGCGGGATGCTCCGCGTGGGGGGTACACAGCTTCGCTCTCCGTAAACGTGCAAACCTTCCCCTGAGCCGGATTTTAGGCATGTTCCTTTTTTTCTTTTTTTCTTTTTATTTTTTCTTTTTATTTTTTTTATTTAGTTTCTTGTTTGCTCCAGTATGGGCAGCTTTGTTTGCTTTTTCAAGAGAAAGTCAGACAAGCAGCGGAGATCGTGTCCGCCATGGGACAGAACAAAGTGCACGGCTGGTCGCCGAGCAGCTCTCTTCATATGCACAAACTCCTGCCTGAAAAGCTCATCCAGAGGCACATGAGCTGGTCCACATCAAGATATTAAAAGATCCATTGCTCTCTTAGACTGCCTAGCAGTAGGACTGCCAGTTATGCACTCATGCTGGCAGGCACGCTTGGATATTCTTAACAGACATGTTACTTCGAGGGGCCATGTTCATTTTACTGCCATTCTGTCGTGAAGAAATCCCGTGCCCTCTCATGTTAGAAAATCTGTGGATTTGGAAAAAAAAAAAAAAAAATCTCTGGATAAATCTAAATATGCGACAGCTTGATCAGGACTCGGTACAAATGACTATCCACCCAAGTTCCTAGAACTTGGGAAATTCAATTCTCAAGGAACGCTCAACTCGAGCTGTCGATGGCCGAGATGGTGCAATGCTTTTGGCTCAACCGGCTAAGACGTGGCGGTCGAAAACCAAATTTCCAGAGGCCTTAAAGAGACAGGACACCATATTTTTTATTTGGATTCCAGAACCACCTTCCATGGTTCCAGGCTTGAAAGGAAATGCTAAATTCTTCCACCAGAAATTCAAAAAGGGCCCACTCTAGATGCCAACAAAGTAGTTCAAGCATCCGCATAAGAAAATGATCCATAGCATCGCCACGATAGTGGCTGGGAGAAGCACATTCTCATGCTTGTAAAGCTATATTTTGCGATCAAATTGATCTCCTGACCACCGGTGTTAGAGAGCAGGATCTCTATGGATGTAGAGAGGTGAAAATAACTTGGAACCAGTACTCACCCCAGTGAAGGTGTATAAACATGTTCCGACTATCGCTGTATGGGAGCTGGGGCTGTTGAAAACAGCTCAAGCCTACCATAAAGCACTGGCGGCGGCGTACAGACCCCATTTTGGCGCTCTGTACTCCGCACGTCCCATGTAGCGAATATGCGGGAGAATTCTCGACAAAAAGCCCCGCACTTCGACACGGACCACGGCGTAAAAAGGTGGTTTGTTCAGATGCGACTGTGTTTCAGCTTCGATTCCCAAGCAGTCTCATGACCGTCTCCTCCCATTTTGAGACCACCTCTTCGCCCGCCTTCTCCAGCTTCAGGCGCGAATCTTGTTCGGGCTTGACTTCACTGTCTATCTCAGCTACGCCGCCAAAAACTTTCTGAACCGCCAGTTCAGACTTTGCCAGATCGTACAGCTGCAAGATATCCAGTGAAGGTGCTGCGGTGGTTCCGCTCTCTGACCGCTTCCCGGGCGCGGAAGAAGACGCAGATGGAGAACAGCGAACAAGGCCCTCCAACACACCCAGCACCACGCCAACCCTCATTCCCAGCTGCGCGCCGACGGGGAAGCCGGCATCGAAACCGCGCTGCACGTGTTCGTGCTTTGCGGCGGAGATACCATCACGATACCCTGCGGTGACGTGCTGGCGGCGGAGGGAGGGGAGGTCAGACGGTTCACAGTGGGACGAAGAGGCAGTGTGGGGGGGTTCGGCGGAAAGTCCCGCAGTGGGAGGGGGAGAAGAGCCGAAGATGTCATCCAACCCTGTGCTTTCAGCGGGCGGGGGATGTTGTGGTGGCGGTGATGAGCGGGCTGGTGAGCTGAGGGCGGTGGACGGCGATGGAGGGGCGGAGTTCGGGATGTCACTGCATAACGACGCGCTGTCGACGGAGCTGGGAGCCATCCTGGGCTATTTTAATATATATATATATATAAAATTTTTTTGTTTTATTCTTTTTTGAGAGAAATCGACGACAACAGCGGGTTGGATAAGGGAACAGTTTCTTTTCATCTATGATGCAATGGGTGGAAGCCTGGTCTTCTCGATTAAAAAAAGATATTATAGTTGGATTCTTGAAGCAAAAAAAAAAGGTAAAAATATTTTAACGGTATCAACTAGTTAACTATGTATGGAGCAACGGAGTACGGAGCAGTTTAAGCCACCCACGCGACTCTTCCACCCTCTCGAAAGAAGCTTTTCAGCATCCATTTCCACGAAGGAAATAATTCCAGGCGAAGATGTCTGATTGACCGCAAAATATGCCGGCTTTCTTTAAACCTACTTGCAGCCCCAGCTTCAACCTAGCTACTACGTAGAGCGTCAAAATTCAGGACGTACAGGGTTACATACATGGCCATTCCTGGTCTTCTCAGCCAGAGCTGATAAAGGTACGATGTACTTCCGTTTCCCTTCCATTCCGGCTCTTCGAAATGGTGGGACAGCAGATTACTCCCCATGACATACCGTCATAGCAACCTTATCCTCCGTCGAATGATGCCGGCTCTCTGGAGGAACCGTGATAGAGAACCGGCGAGAAGGATGGCGCTGTGAAACATCGTCCCCCCGACTCAAGCCACCAATATCCCGTCCAAACGGGCGCGCAGAAATAAATAAACTCCCTCTACGGAGTAGCTCCCGAGTGATATAGTTACATACATACAGGCTTGCCCTCTCACCCTGGGGCTCCTGTAGGTTGTGTGGCGATTTTGCTTCAGCCAAGTGGCGGGGATCTGGGTCTCCCGCCTTTCCGGCGGCTGGGGGGCTACACGAGGAATTAACATGACATTTACGGAGTACGGAGTACAGAGTATTAGCAATTTCTGCTCTTCAGGGAATTTTCCAGCCCTGTCCACGCGGATCAAGGAGCCGTCAGCCCTTTGGTGGCGTGCCAATCCTCCCCTAACGGGCTGGGTCGCTGCGTTGGCGGTGCCAAACGGGGAATTCTGGCCCAAAGGAAAGGCCTGTTTGGGCGATCGACGCCAGAACGGTCAGAGTTCCAGGCTCTCAACCCATCCGCCTTTTCTCAGCCTTGTGGGATTGTGGGATTGGGGGATTGGTCATTTTTTGTTCTCTTCTCCCTTTTGGCTTCCCTTTGCCAGCGAACCTCCCCATTCCACGGTATCGGGCGAACTCAAATGGCTTTCGAGGTCGTATCGTCAATCCATGGAGAACCTCCGTGCGGATGGACGGTCCCATGCTTTCGATATGCTCCTTGGATCCCCATCCACGGTCCCGGCTCAAGCCTTGCACGTAAAATCTCCCGGCTAATGACTTCGTGCCTCGCTCTAAACACCCTGCTTTGGCATTGGATCGGTTTTAGCGCCTGTTTGCTGCTTATTGCAACCGAGCTTGCAGTGTCCCTTTAATCGCTCTCACAACCTCTCTCTCTCTCTCTTTTTTTTTTTTTTTTTTTTTTTTTTTTTCTTTTTTCTCTCCCTCCCTCCCTCCTCCCCGCCCTTTATTATCCCATACGCTACACATACCGTACCCTTCTACACGTCCGCTCTCACGTCTGCTACATGGTATACCTCTAGCATGGAACAATGCCGCCATGGCTGTTTCCAGATCCTTTCCCTCTTACAAAATCCGCGGGGGATGACCTCGCCTCGGCGGGGGCCAAAATGATCTCGCGATCTGTACAGAGAATGTCGGCGAAGATGTTCAAATCATCTGCTGCCCCTCCTGCCGAAAATCAAAGGAGTAATAGGTCGAAGTCGACCAAGTCCGTTCACTTTGAAGCTCAACTCGAATCAGTTTGCTACTTTATGAAGGACGACGAACCTTGTTTGATAGCTGCTCGGATATCGGCCGTGACACGCACCAACGGCGCATGTGACCCGCTCAAGGAGCTTAAAAGCGAGTCGTCTCTGCTGCTGCACGACTCGACATGTGTTTTGGATATGATATCCCAGTCCGCAGATCGAAAAGACGATGCGCCCGTCCGAGTAGAGCAAGTCTACCTCTCTAATCGGAAGAACGTCACTGGAACGTTGGCGGTTGCGAACGTCTCCTTTGCAGAGCATGTAAAGGTGCGGTTCACACTTGATGGATGGAAAACAGTGTCCGAAACGGCGGCAGAGTATTTTGGGAACCACCGTCATAAAGGATTCGACACGTTTGGCTTTACTATCAGTCTTGAAGATCAAAAGGCATTGAAGGACAAAACTATGTCCTTCTACGTTTGCTACGTCGCCAATGGCATGGAAATCATGGACAATAACAACTCGATGAACTATCAAGTCGAGCTGTCGAAGTTCGCCCATCCAACGGGCAAATCTAGCCCGGTTGAAAATGCCAATGCCAATGCCACTGCCACCTCTCTCCCTCAGTCTCCAGCTACTGTGGAGCGAGCGTCAGCCCAGGCCTCTCCTCCTGGCATCCTTCGACTGACATCTTCGAGCCAGAAAGTCAGCAAAGCTTCAAAATACTCCGCTAGTAACCAATTATTCGCCCCTTTATCGCGGCAGCTTAAAGCGGAGGTAGAAAGTTTCGAAGGGAAGAAGCATCATGCGGAAGTCGATCAAGGCGTAGGTTCCTTTTTTTGTTTGCTTTTTTGAAATGGATAGCACTAATACTGATGGATATAGAATGTGCCCTTATTCAAATATATGGATCGCCTGAGCAGCAACGCAAACGTACTGTCGTCTTCGCAAATAAGACTCCTATAATGATACCCTCAAGGCCTCTAAATAATGACATAGCCCTCTCCTTAATCACTCCTATCGCTTGAAACCCCGTTTTATCGACGAATCGCACTAATGTACATGCCACCGTATTTCGCTCTCCAACCTGCCGGGCAGGCTACGGTGTTACCGATTAATCTTAATACTGCTGGCTTTAGACTGCGGTGTCCCAGACGGCCGAAGCGGTGGCTCACCTAAGCATAACGCCAGCCGGCGTTTTTGACTTATATAGGCGCAGGAAAGCATTATTTCCATATACTTAACTTCTCTCTCGATACCATAGTCTTCAATATTGTCCCCGGCATTGCTTTCAATATTTTCTTCTTTTTCTAAGGAAAGGCCCTTCCCCCCCGGCTCATCCTAGTACCTTTTACATATTACAACCAGTTTATCAGCATCATCTTTGGGCCAACCTTTCCAAGGATAGAGAAATGGATCTTGGATGGCATTTTGCTTCCTGACGCACTTGTACAGTAGCTACGCTAAAGGCTTTTATCCGCACAGATATATTTCGTCAACCATTACCTTTTTTTTTTCCTTTCCAGGTTCTGACCCGTTGCAGAGCACATTCGCGAATCCAATGGAATATCCACCAGGGCTCCACGTAGCGGTGACACGAGCTTGGTGACATTTAGCGTTGCAATATAAATACCAAGGTTGCAGAGACGGCTTCACACTGCGCCCATAATCGTACCAGTATTTTTCGGACCCATCCTCATACGGTTCGTGCTAAATATGGGAACAATCCAAATCAAATTTCCTCGTCCGATGCCAGGACGGTATCCTGGTTGGAATGGTAACGTTGGTCAAGCTTTCGCTCACCCTGGACATGAGCCTTGACTTTTCGGCAACATATGCGTATTATTGCTTGGCCTATGTAGAAAGCAAAGCCCGGGAGCTTGTCTGAGCCGGGTACGCCCGTGAGCAAAAACCCGGAAAATAATCGTTTTGTAATCTCGGGTGGTGGTCAAAATTATGCTTATTTTATTCCCCTCATCGCCGTTTCTACGAAGTACGCCGTAGGGCGCCCCGGTTTTTACCTTTTTTCAGAATGCGCCCTGATCGACCCGATAAGCTCTTGTTGTGTTACCGGAGCTTTTGTTCTGGAAGCGAAGATCTGGGCTCAACCTCGTATTTCGCAGACGTCAACTTGGCCGCCGGATGCCATATCCCGCCCGTGGGAGGATACGTTCGCGAGTCTCCTTGCTTGATTCGACCATATTCCGCTGCGAAAGGGCACTTTGCAAGTGAACCACTAGTCCAATACGACCCGTTGCCTCTGACTAATGCCATGGTCCGCATTCGTCAATTAATTGGCTGAGTTGCCGTGGAATATGGCCCATGTCAACCGCCGGTCTCTTTGTGTTTTTTGGTTTTACAATCTTCTCGTGGCGTCCGGAAGACTCACAGATCCTTATCGCTTAATTGGACCCTGAAAAACGGGATAGGAGGGGTCGTTGGACCCTTTGTAAGGGAGAAAAAGCAAAAAAACAAAAAAGGAGCAGAAGAAGAAAAGGAAAAGGAAAGTAATGCCGAGCCAGTTATACGAGCCTTGAGAGCGTGAGTCCAGTATATTTGATTGCTCTCATACTTTTTGACACTGTTTGGCCAGTCAAACACGATTAGTGTTTACGTGACTGCCATCAAAAACTTTCCCTCCGTCTCCGTACAGAAACAAATGCGGAGAGAGTCGAGCTACCTTACCTTTGATTTCCGTTCTGCATTGCCGATAGAATAACGGATCGGCCATGGGAACAATTATGGGAGCATTCATAGGACCAATTCGTGCGGTCCCATAACCCATAACTGGTGAGGGCGAATTTCACCGCATAATTGACAGCTGATGGTTGCATCTATTCCATCCAAGCGAAAAAAACAGATAGATACCCAGATACAAGGCTGTTGTCAGCGCCAATGCGGGTTATGCTGAAAGGACCTCTTGGACGCCCGCAAATGCAAACTCCCACCATTCGATTCCACCAGCTGTGTGATTCTGGAAATCTTTGTTTTGATATCCTTGTCGTCACAGATCCTTGGCGTCTGGCCGGTTAGTTAAAGTTTACTAGCGTGGCTTTTTCGCGTTTGGCGTCGGGCGATCTCCACGCGTGACGGATGATATTGGCCCGCGTCTTCCGTGCCAGGCCTCTTGAAGCCCAAATCGCCCCTCCAGCGCTCAATGATGGTTCTTGAAATACGAGAGGCATAAGCAGAGAATGTTTCATTTTTGACTCTCATGTGAGTCAATAGCTCCGATGGATCCGAATTCAAATTCCCACGAGCACCTGTGGCTCCCAATGCCTGGGGATTTTCTCTCGAGCAATTTGATCCGTCTATGTTCTTCCTCTCCTTTTCTTCCTGATACGGTCTTGCTAGAAGAGCCAGGGTAAAGTCGGCTTGCACGGAGAAATGGGAGACATCTTGCCTGAAGTGCACTTCATCAACAAGGAGGGCCCCGAAATCCGGACGTCCCGGTTGATCCTCCGACCTCTACGTGATTCCGATGTTGGAGATATGTTTGCGATGCGATCCCGCGAAGATGTCATGGTCTGGAGGTATCATCCTTCCAGATCGCACTCCCCCAAACTCAACGAAGTGGCTTGGTTTCCTAATCTTACTTTGGTTTTAAATATATAACAGCCTCACAAAACTGCCCGACAAAGACATCTCAGCGACGAAGAAAATAATGTCCCGCTGGAACGACGAAACCAATGTGGGTCTTGCCGTGCTGGAGGTTTCGAACCCAGATCGTGTCTGTGGGGTCATCGGATATACCGCAGTCGGTAACAAGATGGAAGTCGGATACCTTATGCATCCCGACGTGTGGGGCAAGGGATATGCCACCGAGGCCCTCCAGGCCTCAATCGAAGCGTGGTGGAATGGTTATGAGGCAGTGAAGCCAAAGAAGAGCATGATGCATGAGCTGCTTGCCTCCACGCACGAGGGAAACGAGCGGAGCTACAGAGTTCTCAGGAAATGTGGATTCGAAATGATTGAGGAACTTGACGATGAGTATGGAAGAGGAAATGTTTGGAGGCTAAAAAGGGCCAATAGCGGCTGATTATTCGCCCAAATAATGGGGGATTCACAGCGTAACTGCCAAAGATCTTGTGGTTTGGATCTTCGCTGTGCAGTGTCAGTTTTGCTATGAACCTGACTTCACCACTGTCTTCGCCCAATGTAACTATTTCTATGTAAGAAGAGATTTTCTCAATAACCCCCTCTCTGCTTGATTTCTTGATTTTCTTTCACAAGTGTTCCTTCACAGTTATCACCCTAAAAATTGTCAACCAAAACATCAGCAATGGCCTTCCTGCTGACATGTTGATTGGCCTTGCGGAATTTTGCAAGAAGTACAAAGCAGCTTCAGCTGTGAACGCAACCTATTCACATTTAACCGTGCAACCACCCCGCTGCGGCCTATATAAGGGCCAACTCTTGTCTCTTTCCAATTCGTACAGATCATCGATCTCAACCATTTATCTTGCAATTGCAAAATTAACCACGCCCATAATAGGAAAAGAACATGTCTTTTGGAGCTCATTGAAGCTCTTTGGGTTTTTAGTGCTGATGATGACCAGAGGTGCCATTGCAGAGAGTACTGCTGGAAGGACACTAAGGGAAAACATCTCAATGACCATGGATGTTCCTGACACTGTACATAGGTGATCATGAGCTTCTTGATATTAAATCCTGACTCTCCATATTTTCTTTTTTTTTGATCCTTTTGAATAATGCAACTGTGTTGTCAAGATTTGCTACCTTGAATAATGCTGAGGAGAATTTGGCAACCCCACCAACTAGCTTAGTTTATTCTTCACAAAGACAATACCATGTTTCCTAGAGGCTAAAGCGTGAAGTCCTTAGCATGCTAGTAAAGTTTCCCTGCTTTGTTTCAACAACACCGGCTGCTTTGAATCCGAACTTGGAGTATAGTGGAATACCAGCAGGGGAGGACAAAACAAAGGCGCCCAGTGCGTTTTTATCAACATAATCACAGAAAATCTTCATGAGCATAGACCCAATACCTTGACGTTGATGATTTGGATCCACAGCCATGAAAGTGATTCCTAACAGAGACAAGTGAGCAAGGCCCGAGAAAATCCAAGTAGGCTGATGGCTTACGGCATATTCCATTGCCTTGGCAACCCTGAAGAACTCTTTGCCTCTCTTCTCTGAGCCTTTTTGAGATACCAAGCCATGAAGTTACATCCAAAGAGGGAGGGTTAAAGCTGTTCTGGTTTTTCAACTTTGCCCCTTGCCGTCCTCCAGGCCTAACTACTGGCCCACTGTGAATGCAATCGCTAGTTTTAACTCCCTTTGCAAATGCTCCTGGACTAGCAGTCCAGCCTATCAGTCCGACAGGTGATCCATCTTCTCCGCACGCCTTGTACAAAACTTCGCCCCCTTGATGAACTGTCTCAAGGAGCCCATCAATCGTCCATCTGATTTTGTCTTCTCTCTGCTCCCACTGTTGTTCCTTTGAGCGCGGGAACATCAAGCTATAGAGTAGGTTGTCTTGATGTGCAGGAAATTCGACTTTTCGCACGAGCAAATCCACATCCTCGGCTTCGACAGGCGATATAGAGCATGCCATTTTGTTGGTTGACAAAAGAATATGTTTGGGCGCACAATCCATCAATAAAACAGCTGGGCATGCAAAGGAAGAGAGTAAGAGGTTTGCGGTATCCTGAACCAGCGCTCCGTAAGTCAGCAGCGGAAGGGCTTGATCACGTGATACAAGCTCAAGGTTCCGTTCCGACTTTGCGGCGGATTTTCCAGCGCTGAAGGTTCAAGCTTGAAGTGGTCTCTCGCAATGCACAACAGAACGCTCAGCAGCAATAACAGCCTGTAGCTACTGGTGCTTGCGTTATCGGAAACATCTGTGATGTCCTCGAGTTGAACTCGAGTTCCAATTCCTTCACCATGTCGAACGAGACATCGACGAATTTTTCGCCGCCGGCAGACAACCCTCCGCCGCAGTCTCCGACACAGCAATCCTCCCGCATATCCAACTCTACAAAGCTCCTCGTCGGCGGCTCGCTCTTCTTTGTCCTTTCTGCGCTCATCACTCGCCGCTCTCTTGCCCGCCGCCGTCTTGCCACCATACCCCCTTACTACACTAGCGCCACGAACCACAAACCACCGGTCAATGGAGCCATGGAAGCCCTCGAAGCGCTCAATATCGCTACAATCAACGTCGCCAGCTTAGCAATGATTGGAGTTGGCGGCGCAATGCATGCATTCGATATCAATGGGATGGACGACCTAAGGAGGAAAATACGCGGTGGCCTAGGCGTGGACGGCACTGGGAGGAGTGAAAAAGAGGTGGAGGAAGAACTGGAGGAGTGGGTTGTCAGCGTTTTGAACAGAAAGACTGAAAAGGAGAAGAAGGCCGGCACTGATGGTGCGGATAAGCTGTGGCTTAATGAAAGGGGAAAGGAGAGATAATAGTGACCCTCTCTCGTCCTCCTTTCCTTGTTCAGCTCCCGTGGTTTGGATCTTCGATGTGCCGTCTGTCCTGGTTGTCTGTAGCGCGACAAGCCTTGCTATACGCTACCTGTCTACCCCGGATGCGAAGGGCTGTGACATTGGACCATAATGGTTTACGATAAACCTTTATGGATCGGCCTTTTAACATTTACATCTTCCGATCCACCACGGCTTTCTTAGCCTGTTGTAACACCACGACAACTTAGCCTTGAGTGCACATCATAATTCATGAGCTGCTCTCAAATCTTTGAACCCTTTTTTTTTAAAGGAAAAGCGTTGTTTTGCCAGGCATAGCTGGGCTGCCTCTTTTCGTGAGGTGTGAATAGTGCCATCAAGAGTGCCATATCTGTGAATGAAATGCATATATTTCACGAAAGCTTTAGGGAGTTGGAATGGCCTTCTTCGTCAACGCTTCTTAAAATCGGATCATATATTCTGTACATTGTCTGGTGTAAAAACCCAGTCAGATATGTTTTACATGGCAGATCCCTTTTTAGGCTGACAGACAATCCCAATCATCATTGCGCTGTGAATGTTAACAAATCATATCTATAGGGGAAGACTTTAGAGAGATGTATCGAAGACTATAGCAGCTCATATATAGAGCTTGGAGTGTCTCTCATGCTCTGTATACATCTGCCATCACTTCTTCCCACAGGAGCTTCTTATCCGTCGTAACTCGACTCTCCCCAAAGTCTATTAACAACGGGAACTGTGCTATGAATGGAATTTTCCGGGCCATATAGACGATACGATCATCCAGGATCTTCGTAGGCGCTGGTTGTTGTAACTCAGCCTTCTCAAATGTCGAGAACACCACGGAGAAGCATATCCCTTGCTACTAAGCGTATTGTATATGGGCAACAGTCATACATGCATCTGCGCATTTTTCGTTCCATGAGCAAAAAGCTCGGCAGATATCAACTCGCCCTATATGCACAACAACCTTGGCATGGTGCGAATCTAATATCCCTGGGATCTGTCGTAAGGAGGTCCGGCAAGTCCATTATTGGAAGCTCAAGCATTTGCATAAACCTCATCCCAAGAGATTGGTCGACAAGACAAACATGTTTCCCATGTGGCCCAAATGAATTGTATAGCTTTCAATATAGGTCTCTTCTCCCATGTTTGGTGATCCAATAAACATAGTCCAGATACTTATAGACATCAAACTCATGGTTTAACTTGGCTGAATTGTTGACATACTTTCTGGTTAGAATGAGATCATATTAGACGAATGGCGTCATCTGATGGGAGCAGCAATTGATCAGAAAGTGAGCTGAGAAAGCAGCAGAAATGGTGATGCTATCTTGGAAATGCGAAGCTAATCTCTGTGTGCAAGAGTCTTTTTATTGCTCCATCTCGAAGTACTATGTATATAGTAGTATGGGGCTCTTAGGCGTGTCGGCATTCATGAAGTTGACTCCTTCGTGCGGTAAAGAGTATGGTCTAGGGAGGTTTTGAGCCGAGAATGCATTCACCTCCTAGCCAGGGGCAACGCCAACAAGTTGGCAGCAGTTTTTAATCAACTATGCGTGCTCTTGCTCGACCGGCGGTTACCGAGTCGATTACACCACGAGCTCTATACGGCCAGTCAATGACGTTAAATAACAAGTTGACAACTGAACGGCAATAGGGGGACTGGTTAACGAGTTCAACCGGGATAGATCCATAGGGAACATTTACACACTCCAGGCACTGACGACTACAAATACAGGATGCTTACTGCTCCCCTTGCTGCATCTTCTCATACCTCTCCCTCGCAAGGTCCTTCGTTTTCTCCAAAAATTCATCGTATCTTCCTCGAGTGTTCCGGCTCGCTTCTTGCACTGCATCTCCCACTTTGGAGCCCTGAGCGCCTAACCCAACGCCTTGGACATAGAGCTCTGTAGCAACGGGCGCTGTCATTCCTGTGCCTTGCGCTCCAAGGCCCTTGCCGGCAGACCAACCCATTTTACCGAGAAGAGAGGCTCCCTTTGACATAGTCGGAACAGCAGACTGCTCTTCCTCCTCCTCTACTTCCTTTTCTATTTTCTTGTCTTTCGGTTTGCTGGATGAGCCGAATACCTTACGCCTCTCCTTCGCTCGATCACGGTATTCAGCAGCCGGCTGCTGTTCTGACTGGCTATCTCTCTTCTTTGCCAGTTTCGCCAATGCCTTCGCCTTCAACTCTTCATTTTGGAGGTTGTCACGGTGGAGCTGGCTCAATCTTTCGTGACGATGGACCTCGGCTTCAGTCTTGAACTGTCTCATGCAAAGATAACAACATTTGCGATTCAAGTCGGCATAAGACTGTGTTGGTGGAGAGGAAGCGGATGAAGGCTCGGTATTACCGCTACCGTTTTCCATGTTAGCGGAGCCGATCTCACCTTCTCGGGCTTCACCCTCGGGATTGTTGCGTTGGATGCCGTGCAACTCTGCATGTCTATCGCTCCAGAACTGTAAATGCGAAGGCATTGCCAGCTTCTTGCTGCCGGAAGCGGCCCCTGCTTCTGCTTTTCGCTTCTTCATTTTGTCGCCATCCTTAGATCCCTTGGTGGTCTTGCTAGCTGCACCGGTGTCCTTTGGCTTTTCTTTCGACTCTACAATTTCAGTTGAGAGCTTTAACTCGGTTACGTATGCTCCCTCATCCCAGTAGGCCAACTTCACTGACGGGTTTCCCAAAGGACTGAACGTAAAACGTTCCGTACTTGCGGTGGGATTCAAGACTGGGACGAAGACTCCAGCGTGGATATAGCTTGCTAGTACCGGTTTCGAGGATATAGTGAACGTCTCAAAGGAGTTATGGCGGGTCAAGGCGGATTGGGCATCCTGTTCAAAGTCAACACGGCTCATCTCGAGCAAGGAATAATGTCTTACCTCAACTGTTGCAAACTCGGCGAAACCATATCTCCAGCTTTCGTTGCTTCGTCTGTCTCTCACCAGCAAAATTCGTCGTATGGATCCTTCCCGGGCACCCAAGTTGGTATCACCGGTGGTCGAGGCAATCTTCGCACCCTTCTTTGCGGCAGCAGCGGCTCCTTGAGACTGAGAGCCGGAGGACGGCTTGTAGAGCTTAGCAACGCCTTTGGCTAATATCTCCTCAGTAACACTTGGCTCTAAACCCCGAAAGAGTAGGAACTGGGAAGGGGTGCCATCCGGTGAGACATCATTATCACCGGTGTTGATAACACGCTGAAGTGGTTCTGCAGCAGCTGCTGGAACTTGTGTAAAATCTACAGCAGTTAGGGAGACTGGGATAGTGGAAAAACCAAAGGCCGGTGTGTAGCTTACCGGTGCGGACTGCTTGGCAGCGAAAGCACCTCTGGCGGGTTGCATAATTCACTAATGTGCACTAGAAAAGAATGAGCCCACGGCTCCAATGAGAAGAGTAGTGAGCATTGACTTACGATCTTACAAGTCCATTCTCCTTCAGCCCTGCCGCGATTGCGATCTTCCCTCTCTCGACTGTAAGCAATTCTAACCTTCACACCACGACCATCATCATGCGAAGAGCTATCCCCATATAAGTAGATAGCGGGGTAATTGCGTTCTAAAAAATCTCGAGACGCATCCAATGACGGAAAACGAAGGAAGCCCAGCTGCCGCGATATCTCTGTGCGGAATGCGTTAGCGTCTGGGTGTAGGGGAGGGCGGCGGGAAGTGGAGAGCTCACTTGTCTGGCGATCTCTGATAACCCGCACATCTTCAAGATCCTCGACATGATAGTATTGTCTGAGCTCATTGGAGATCTATTTTTGAAGAGCATCGACCGGAAATAAGCCCGGTGACATGCACATCTCAGCATATTGTCACATCCAGGGGAAGTAATGAAAAACAAAAAGAAAGTCGGTGATTTAAGCAGCGGCGAGTGAATGTTTGAGGGCGAATATTGGACTCAAAAGCGCGAGTGGAATTCTGGAAAAGAGGGAGGGGAGGTCGAACGTCTTCTTCATTCATCTCAACGGGCAAGCCCTCCATCATGACTTCCCGGCTCTCTATACCATAGTGCGGGGGCCGCCGACGGTGGCTTCGGCTTCGGGAACGAGTGTGACTGCGGGCACGGCTGCGGCTCCTGCTACGACTGTGGTATGTCGGAGAGCGGTAGCCTTCACGATCGCGGTCTCTGTAGCCCGAACGGCCGCGCCATGAAGGTGGCGAGCGACGGAAATCTTCACGGTTCCTTCCACGATAGTCGGGACGCTGGTCTCTAGCAGCTGAGCGCGCGTCATCGAGGTTATTGTTATATCTTCTGTCAGCGGCAGGCCATCGTGGGGCCGCGATCCGATTCATATCTTTTTAAGAGAGCAAGATTGAGACATCAGCACAAGCTCCACAGGGTAACGTTGACTGTCCACTTGGGGGATCTGGTGCGTAAAGTTAGCTTTTACCATGCGGAGGAGAGCGTGGACCGCCTGGTGAATGGTGCTTCTGGTCTCGGTCTCGGGCGCGTGCAGAAGGCGAGCGAGAGCGCGAGCGGGAACGAGACGGACGATCGTCGTACATGCGGCCATTGCTATCGTCATTGCGGTAGGGAGGCCGGTGGCTAGGGGCGTAATGAGACATGACGAGGTATCATCTGCGAATGAAAGGGTACGGTCAAGAAATTTTAAGGGAGACGGAGGGTGGAAAGGAAAGGAGATCGTGGATGCATTGATGATGGTTGTGATGGGTGATTCGCGATATTCTCGGGATGCGACATCACCTCACGTGACGGGCGGGATATTATTATTCCGATTAACCGGTTACGGATTAATATTGATACGGATTATCCTCATCAGGACCTGTCTCTGCTGCTCTGAGTTGGTTGATGATGTTGTAGAATCCGTGTTTTGCCCGCGTACGCTGATGCGCCGGTAAGGATTCAGGCGCAGAAAGGTTAATAATGCCCTCGAGTAAGGCTTGATGGCGATGCCGGGCCATTGCTTTTGCTTTTTTTAATATTCTGCGGGACTTGCCGTTCGCAGAGGTCAGGGTGTAGAGCTCAGTTGTGGGGAGAACTTAGTTCTTCTATTGCGAGGGGCCTAGCGGGCTTATCACCGAACCTGGTGTCCCTACGGCGCCTACAAAGGCAAGGCATATGGTGGGACAACCGGCCGGGTTATAAGTAATTGTCTACATAAATTATGGTGCTTGCGGGTAATGGTTTGTTTGTTGCGTTGTTTTGGCAAAGCAGCTCTATGACAGCTTTGACATCCCATAGATGACATATTGCAGGATTCTAACGTTCCACTCAATCTGAGGGGGTTTACGTTCCCGAGCACTAGTTAGTTAATTTAACTAACTAAATACGCGCGGGGCCAGATGTCGATGTGTAAAGCGCACAACATATGTTTGAAGGTTCAAGGCCTTCTAGCTGCCCGTAACTGCTCTAGGGACCGTTCCCAACCTCTACATTTTTACAGCTTTCTCTTATCACATATTAATTTGGTTGCTTATCTGGGGCCTGCTCAGGGACTGCTAACTCTCTCAGCTGTGAGATTGCATTGAGTTGGGGATCTAGTCACTACAGAAGCTCTCAGGGCAGTATCTTTCATGAAACTACCCTCCTGTATCATAGTTTGAGACATGGCATAATTTTTAGGTGAATGGCCATAGATAGCCTGCTATGTGTGGATAGTCATTGCTATTGTGTCTGATGAAGGTGATCGGACCAAGAACACTCTCTCTTGGGTCAGATGTTCTATGAGGGCATCTGTCTCAAGAAAATCCTCTTGTGAAGAAATACCTCATGTGCACCATGGCCTGGGCCAATGTTACAAACTAGCTACGAAATAACCACTGGATCGCCACTGGCCAGAAGCTTCATGGAACACAGCAGAAGGTGACATTGTATATGTGAGGTCTATATAATAGAGGTCAATTGCTTGGATTCTGGAGAGAGGCAAGCAATCAGTCTTCCGTTCTTTAAATATACTGTGAAAGTAGCTAGTTAAGTATCTATATGATCGCAGCACTGAGTCTGCCATGAGTTAGTGACTGCGGCTCGTGACGAGTAACTAGACGAGAAACTTACGTGAGCCATTCTCCAAGGCCGATGACCGAAACGTAGTTAAAGACCAGAGTCTCCAACTCTACAGTATAGCATCACCGGCTTTGTTTCCTCTCCCTCGACAGGATGATATTTGCGGCATACCCGTGTAGACCGGGCGATGCCGCCAAAGCTTTAAATGAGCATCGAACCCTGGAATGACTGGTGCATTTTTGTCAGAACCACTCGACACGGGTAAATCCGTGGCGGCCGCCGTGGACTGGTCCACAAGGACCCAGATCTAAGCGCCGTGAGGCTCGTTCTGGACTGCCTTCCCAGAAACTCTATCCGGGCTGGGTCTATATCTATCAGCTTCGCTCTTCAACGGCACGGCGTAAACTGCCAATAAGCCCTGATTTCATCCCTCATAAAGCATTAACGCTTCAATATTAGGGCATATAAAGATGAAGCGGACGATGCTTTGTTTCACCAAAGCCGGAACGAGATTGCTACCCTTTCTTGCGAATCAAACGTCGCCACGGTGAGGTTTGGTGGCTGGGATGTTCTCTCGTTGGCGCGATCACCTTCATAGCTCCATCCTCAAGTCCCAGCCTCCCCCTCTCGCTAAGGAAAACTTCACCCAACCACCTCAAATAATACCTTTCAGAGGAGCCAGGGCCATGAAATGTGACGAGGTAATCATGGCTCTTGTCATTAATAATGGGCCTCCCCACTCGGGCTCTGCGAGTTTCTTTCTTTCCCCTGCGCTCCCTTCACTTCGCCTTTCTTTCACCCCCGCCGCCCATTGAATGAATGACCCAGAATGGTCTCCAGTGGAACTGCTACCTTGAAAACTGTTGACAGTAAGTTTGAAAGTATTCGCTCCTGGTTCTGTGTACTCGCAAAACATTCCAAAGAGCACACACAGCACTGTTTTTTGTGCTCGCTAACGGTGATTCGCGATGGCTCCAGGAAGCAGGCCGCAGTTGGTTCACACTCCCTCGCAGCAATCCGTTGCTGCGTCCTCTGATTACTATTCGTTGTCCGATGCCACTGTCAGCTCCGCACAAAGCAGGATCACGGTAGTTCGATACCAGACACCTCCGTCACGGACGATAACACCCGCGGAGAATATGATAAACAGTGCCCCGAGGGATCAAGCTGGCAGGCAGTCGGATCCTCAACTGGCCGGTTCCGCTTTTCGGGCTGGCGCACGAACAGATACAGCAACTCCCACACCGGGCGTCGATGATACTCCGTACATTCGTTTTGCAATCGATCAACTGACCCGCGATGAAGAACTGCGTGGTCAGGGTCGCCAGGGAACCATTGTCAGCACGGAAGACTATCCCATTGAACGAATCATCCCCGATGAAGGCTTAGGATATTATACACCTCCTTCAATACGGCGGGCGGATGAGCCAGAGGAGCCGGAACAGCCACAACAACCGCAACAGGAGCCCGAAAATCCTCCCCAACATGACCCGGCTGGTGAGCAAGATAGCATCCGTTTTCACGGCCAGTTCTAACAACTTTATTCTAGCATTTTTTATTCCAGTGGATCCCCCACAAGAAAGATATCAATATCCTCCGCTTACCGCTGCTCCGTGCATCCTCCGTCCATTGCTACTTTGCCCTCTCATCTTTTCATGTCTCTGTATGATTGCTGCACTGGTTTTCTGCAGCGTATGGTGCCAAAAGTACGACTGGTTATGGGAATATAACGGTTTCGGGGGTTCGAGGTATTTCGTTTTCGAATTTCTGCCCCAATTGCTGGCGATTTTGATCGTTATTTGCGTCTTTGTCGTTCAAGCCGCTGTCTATCGGGTGATCCCCTTCTCCATCATCGCTCGAACGATCAACCGGCAACGTGCCCTTCAGAACTTGCCCATGTTTCCACGGAACTTCCTCTTACCCGATCTGTCCCACTTCCAACATGGTGAACCATTGATTGGGGCTTGTCTTCTTGTTATCTGGGCGACGAACTTCATTACCGTTCCACTCCAGAGCTGCCTTTTCCAGCCAAAATGGTACGCTGGTGGCGGTGAGGCCGGGTTTAAATGGACCACCGTTCAGCCCATTGCCTGGTTGCTGGTCGCAGTATACGCGCTTCTTGCAGCAGCCCTTGTTGCAATAGCGCTCCGGTTTAACTTGGGAGTCACCGGACTACAGTGGGACCCGGTCTCCCTCGCCGATATCATTCCAATGATTCAGAAATCCAATATTTTGCATGACTTTGATCAGGCTGAAATCGCCGATAGAGTGGAAGAATTCCTTCCTCCGCGCCCGGTTCGTCTGGGATACTGGAAAACCTCAATGCGCCAGGAAATTTTCTACGCGATAGGAGAAGGAAATGCACCATTGCATCGCCTGCCAGAACGGAGCGAGGGTCGTAATGAAAAATCTCGCGCGAAAGAAATGGAAACCGAAGAGGTTGATGTAGAACGGCAGCGACTTAACGACAAAAACTCTTTCGAAAGAAACCTGCACTCTCCATTTATTCGATTCCGATGGGCTCCTTGGTTCCTGCGGGATACTTTTGTAGTAGCTTGGATCGTGATTGCGGTCGTCCTTCTCATCGCTTTCATGGTTGTTAGCTTCGTCAATCAACCCATACGGAATGGGTTCGCCCCTCTTCTTTCGACGGTTGTGTCATCCTCAGGTTTCTCTCCGTCTAATTTTCTTTACAGCTTTATTCCGGCGCTGATTGGAAACTTCTTTTTTCTGGCCTGGCAACCTCTGGATGTTTATTTCCGCGCTATCCAGCCTTTTGCATCTCTCTCCTCTCCCTCCGGAACCTCCGCTGAATCAAGCCTCCTCCTGGGCTATAATTCGTGCTTTCCTGTGGAGATCACTTTTGTTGCTCTGGCTAATCGTCACTACAAAGTCGCATACATCTCCTTTGTTGCGTTGGTGTCTCTAGCGATCCCAGTCCTTGCCGGCGGCATGTTCATGGCTGAATGGTACTCTGGGGAAAGCGAGCTCCGAGTTTCGACCCACCTACCCGCATTTTATGCCCTCATCGCATTTGTTATGCTCTACGCCCTGTCTTATTCCATCCTCTGGCCCCGCCGAAAGAGATATCTCCCGCATAAGCTCTCCACCTACACAGATCTGATCAGCTTTTTGTACCAAAGCCCCCTTCTCTCGGATAAAACGTTCCGTGAACCGAAGACCAAAGTAGATTTGGTCACTCGGACAATTGTCCCGCCCCCAGGAGAGGGCGGGACGGCGCTCTATGCCTTTGGAGTCTACCATGGGCTAGATGGCAAGGAACACCTAGGAATCGATAGGCTAAGACGTCCGGAAAGGGGTGAAATGTTGGTTTCTCCACCACCGGGTGGTCGACCATTTTCGATGTAGCGATATTTTCTTTCTGCATTTTCTGTTGCATCCATGGAGTCTAAATTTCGGAATGTTCGCGCATACAGTGGTGGCTCTTTGGGGTTTATTTGGTTTCTGTGAATTTTTTATGAATGCCTAATGATAATGATTGATGTCGATGAGATAGACCGACTATTCAGAAGCCTTACAAAAAACGAAAGTGAAATGAATATGAATACGAGAGGACGCATCTAGATGCCAGGCTTATGAAGTTTCCGAGATCGCTTCGTTTTCGTGATTGCTTCTATTTTTCCTTTTTCCTTTTTTTTTTTTTTAAAAAAAAAAAAAAAAAAAAAAAAAAAAAAAAACGCTCGTTTGCTCGCATACAAGCTTCCAAAGTCCTGGCTTAAGTTAACCACGAACGACCTGTGTATTTAAAACAGAAGATGTGTATAGATACGAAATTAGATATAATCAAAAATAGCTCGATTAAATCCACCAAGTAGAAAGTCAATAAAGAAATTTCCTCACTAGATTATGCAACCGACTCTGTCGTTTGTTTTTTCTCCTGCTATCACCTCGATTCCCCGCAGCGCTTGTACCTGAGCTCGACAATGAGCCCTCAAGAACATCACTACTATCCGGCGACAAGTCATTACCACTCCGGTCTTGGCTCGAGCTTGCTGCTTGTACATCTTGGGTGGGTTCGATATCGGAAGCTGGAGGTCTCCGTTTCTCCTCCCATTCAAAATTCGCGCTTTCACGGGGCGGTGCAAGGCCCAGATGGACAGATTCCAGAACTTCTCTCGCTTGCTTATGTATAAACGGATAGGAGCCATTGGTAGAATCCCTGAATTCGATTCGTTCGTTGGGAGTGACTGCAGGTGACAAGGGATTTGATGATCCTGGGCTCTGATCGCTTATCGTAGAGGTTGCCTGTAACGCGAAGCGAATCGTTTTTTCGTCGACATTGCCCTCGGAAGGGGTGTTTTTGACTTGCAAATACCCCGGAATAGCGGCTTTTTGGAGGCTGATTTCTTGTCCTGCATACGGGGATCTCCGGGGAAAGTCCTGATTTGATAATATATGCTCCCGATTCTTAGAACTGCCGGGCCTGTCAGTATTTGACGAATTTGATATATTGAAATATGCGACATTGCCTCGTTCTGCTGGTCTCCCCCTAGTCTGAGGCCCAATTTGCAAGAATCCTCCGTATCCCCCGGTCCTTTCAGGTCGTCCCCTACCGTTAGAACTAGAGCCCAAAACCCGTGGAGCGTCTTCCGTAGTCGCCATAGGTGCCGAGGGCATTTTGCGAATTGATAGCGGAGGGACCTGCATCGAATCTTGGCGCATAGGGAATTTTCCTTTGTGAAGCGCGCATGACGCTGGTAATGAAGTTTGGTGAGTATGGTGAGGATGGTTCGTGGAATCAATGCCCAGATGTTCATCGGGCTCATTTCTATTCGCTGTGAAGTTCGGCAACGTTTCATGAGAACCTAGTCTTTCTTGATGGCGAGTCTGGGGTGACATAGGTCGGGCTAAATTCAGCCTTACTGGCGAATGTAACCGATTCCCTGGTGCCGGTGATTCTGTGTGTCTCTGCCCTGGAATATCGTCCCAGGTATAATTAAACATCGTGTATGGACTATCCCCTGTATTGGGGCTCCTGTGGTAATTTCTTGCATTAACCTGTTTTCGCCGCGGCCGGGCTGTTCTAGCGCTATCTTCGGAGTCGTAGACGCTGTCCTCGGGCATGTGCCTATATTTTTCAATGATTGACGAAACAGAAGACGTTACGGCTGATGCGAGCGACTGCGATGCACTGTCATCTATTGACTCGTTGCCGATTGTCACCACGTCTAGATCAAGGTTTTGTATGTGAGACTGTGGAAACGGGGAATGAGAGGATATCACGGCATGATCGGTGACTTCTGGCGGGGGTCGTGGAAAGTGTTCCGAGTTCACTTGCATAGGGGGGTATCCATTCATATGAACTGGTGCGTGAGGACCCTCTAGAAGGGGGGGACCAGTCCTGGATCTCAGGTTTTCAACTGGGGTCGGAATCGTAGCACGAGTCCCAAGGCCACTTTCTAGTTTCTCAGGGCCAGCGTTATGGCTGTCGCGGGTGCGCTTGTGACGTCGACCTATCCGGAAGAGACCGACAAAAAGGCCGAAAACCATGAAAGCGGCGAGGATGATCAGGGCCACCAGAGCTGCAGAAACAGGCTCAGATTCTGTTCTGGCTAACACTGGGAAGGATCGCCTAGTCCTTTTGGCTTCGGGTGTAACATGCCCAAACAAGGGTCCGACGGGGAGAACAGCAATCATCATCCAAGTGCACTGGGGCTGTTGCTTTCTGATAAACCCTGAAATCCAGTATGCATGTTGCCATTGATATGAATGTGCCACAAGAAGAAAGAGACAGCTTGAAAGATGCTAGAAAGTGAAAGGAAAGGTGGTATCCAACAAAGCAAACGAATGCTAGATACTGTGGTGACCTTTGTGCAGAGATTTAGATGGGGAACTCCCAAATTTCATATGATATAAGCCCTTGAAGCCATCAATTCTAAGTGTGAATTGAACTTGGGACATGGCAAGTTAATGAAAAGAGTGAATGTAAACCTTTTTTGTTTGTAAAGTCAAGACTCCATCATCTGTGAAACATTCTGTTTTCTCAAGGTACTGTTATTTCCAGGATCGTCACGGCGGCAGTTCAATTCTAGCCCAAAGGTCAATAAGGCAATGGGGGGATTTGCGGGGGCAAGTTTGCATTGTCTCTATGTTAACACCAGTGCCTATTACGTACTGTTAGGATATTCGGCCCACCGGCGAATTTTGTCCGGGCATGCCTCAACCCCGAGCGATTGTGAAGATGTGCTTTTCCCAGAAGCTATGACCTTGCCGCGGGTAGAAGGATAGGGGTAAAGACAATGTTATTTTATAGCATGGTGTGGTAGTTGTTTTTTGAAGGTGACGTACTTTCGATAAGATTTCCTCGTCCGCTGGGCCTTAAATCATCGAGTAAAACGTCAATACTCCTTCACAGACATGGGTTTTATGTGGCAACAGTATGCACAGGCCGCTCTGGCTGCAGTTAGTGTTCAATGCGAGCCTGCAAATGATCTGATGAACCGCAACTTTGAAGTTTCTGGAATAGAGGATTCGTTCTTCGAAAATTGGGCTTTTACTCCTTGACCCTGGGCCGTAGTACGCTAGTGAGAGTGTAATAGGGACGATAACGTAGCACACAGGTAACCATTATGGCCACAGAGGATGGCTCGTCGCAACTGGGCCAGCAATCGACCCGGACGGGGCGTTGTGACATAGAGCTAGGGATTGAGAGACGATGATCCGCGATTGTAGTGGGCGAGAAGTGACAAAAAAACGAGTTACTTTCTGCCAAAAACCAGAAAGCCACAAGGGCCTTCAAACTATTTCTCAGGGAAGTTGGACAATTTGTGAGTATCATGGCTGAGAGATGTGTCTGTCCACAGCCGCAATAGGCTGGGGTGAAGTCGTCGCAGATTAGGATGTGAATTTCGCAATTATGCAATTGTTTCTTCCAGGTCTCACTCGGCACATGCTTCAGTGGCAAGCACTGGCATTCATCCCAGCTGCAATGATGAAGAGGACCGAGCCCTTCTATTGTGCAATTGGTGATTAAGACCCATGGCAATTTGATGAATGTTTCTTGACCTTGTTGATCGATTCGGAGTGGATTATTTATTATCCAGACAACACAAGTTATAACAACCTCCTCCCCTTGTTCACTGGATGTAACTAAATTACTTCTCCAGGTGGCTGATATATACAAGTGTAATGGATGTATGTATGTACATACAACAAGCTAAACAACTGGACGAGCCATTGGCATCTGGGTTCTTCTCCATCCGAATCTGCATCCGGCAAAACCCGAGTTCAAGGCGCCCTTGACAGTCTCGATGAAGTTGCCGTTGGCATACGCTTGGCTGGCGTCCCACAACATCACGCCGCCGAAGCTGGAGAACTTCCTGGAGTACTTGACAATTTCTGCGAGCTTTGATGCGTCCACGTACCCAGACCCGGCAGCTCTCTGATTTGCCGGGGCGCCGACGATGACCTTCACCTTTTTGTTCTTTGACACGGTCTTGGCCCACTCGTTCCATTCGCCCAGGTTAAAGGATTTTTGCTCTTCTTGTCCAGGCTCGAAGGTGTTCAAACCGCAAAAATTGTTGTAAAACTGGACGAAAACAGCGTCAAAATCGACTTTACCTTCGAGCATCTCCTTGTTATACAGATCTGGGTAAGGGCATTGCGGTGCAACCGTTAAGAAATACTTCTTGGAAGCATCGGCCGCCATCAAGCTCCGCAGCCGGTTCGCAAAGGGCACCATGTTGCGGACGGTCGCCTCAAAGTCGAGATCGAAGCCATCCACGGTAGCATCTCCAAATGGGCGCGGCCTTGATGAATTCTTCTGAGGTCCAAATGTTTCCCAAATCAGGTTCGCACCCGCAATGGCTTCCTCTTCCGATCCAAACCCCCCTTCACTATACGTCGCCCCTCCAATGGATAGAATAATGGTTTTCCCTTTGCCTTGGCACTTGGTAATGTCCGCTCTGGGTCGAACCTATGTCAGCCCTGAAACAAATCTGCTTGCGAATTTCAATTTCACGATGGATTTTGGCTTACCCAATCTGGGGGCAATTTAGCAAGTCCGTGCCGGGGAAAGTTGTACAGTTGTCGCCCTGGTTGGCAAAATTGACTTGAGGTGCACCACCAATTCCATTGATCACTGTCACGAAGGCGAGCTGGAATACCTGAAAGTGGAATCTGTAAGTATGGGAATAGTACGCAGATCGAAACCTTTTCATTTCATACGTCAATGTTCGTGTCTATTTGATGCATTCCTTAGTTCTCTTGCTGACATGCTGATCATTTGTCACTGAATTACGGATATGATCACCCACTTTCACAATAGTAACCCAGGGGTTGTTGCGTTAGATTGCCAGAGCCTTGGTTATAGGAGTTCTGTCCTACACGGTACTGCCTTAGCAAATGTCCTTCGAAAGCTGATGTCCTGGTGGATGTCGGTGACTACACACCCCAGTAAACAGCGAGGTTGCTTGCTGAATCGGTGTCGAGGCGGGCATATGCAGCGTTGAAGAGCCCTATCACGGGTAGAAGGGCAGTTCGGAGACAATACATGTTCTATCAGAATTCATAAATTGTCCTTTTGATTAGCATCGCCCTAAGGGGGGAGGTATTGATTCCATGCATAACATCTTCCAAAGGTGAAGGAAGGAATAGGAGCCCCCTTTATATTCCTCTGGCCCCGGGCTTTTTGTATCTTGCGCATGGCGGATTCTCCAGTCCTCACGCCCAAAGATGCCTGGGAACATGCCAACTGTCGTAGTGGGACGGCATGCACGCGGCCATCGCGAGGATGGTCATCCTGAAACGGTATCTCAAACAGCCGGAGAGATTTTGACGTTGTTTCACGCCCAAGCAATTTCATCATTAGAATCTCCTGTCACGAGGGAGGATGGACTAATGGAATGTGACCGTACGGTATGTGGCCAGCTTCTCATCATGAGAAAACGATGAGTTCAAAGGGATAATCCATCTGAAATCCATGGAGGGTCATCGATGCAGCGTGGAGGGTTGCAGAGGCGAGTTTTATCGTGCTGTTTCCATCCAGCATGCATTCCCGGACCTCCCACCTCAAGATCTGAGATCTCAGAATGGTGCAGAGCTGGAGCTGACCCTCCAAAATCTGGATAGCCTGCCGAAGATCAAAAGAGATCTTCATACTAGAAGGGCATGAGTGTAGATAAAAGGCGTCGTCACGTCCATGGTGGTGGGTGTGGTTGTTGAGAAAATAAACTGTGCAGGTTCCGACGGAGGTCAGGTTTCACGTTTCATGTTCATCCCACGAATCAAAACATGATTTTTTAGGTTTTTTATGGCCCGGCCATGAGGAGAAAATAGGTGTAATTGCATTTTGTAGGAATTTTAAGGCCCTGTGATGCTGTCAGAGCGGACGAGGATGATCTGCAGCATCATGCGTAACCAGCGATCACCCTCACTACAGCAGAGAAACTAGACTAGGTGGCAACCAGAATGCAGTCCTTATACAACCAGGGTTGGATAAAACTGCGGGTGAATGGATCGGAGCGCACATGGAATTTCCCTCGGATCTGGTGTCACCGGTTCGATATTACGTGGAGCCCCTTGGTCCAAGCAAAGGGAAGAAACGGCTCTACTGTAGAGCAAGATTTAAAGACGTGACAAACAAATCCTCGTAAGATCTTGCTTTATTTAGCGGTTCAACTATGTACACATATTTGAGAAATTCCTGTAACGAAAGGTCAGGAGTTCACTGTCTGTTCCCGATCTACTTGGGACCATATTTACAAATCGAAACAAAAGCCAAACCGTGCCAGCGTTTTAACAGTTGACGTAGATAGCTGGGAGGAAATATTAGTATTAAAACTTTAAATTGAAATTGGACGTGGTCTGCGACTTAGGCTTACCGTTTGCAAAGAGGGAATACGTGTCTGCGTTGAGGAGGGCCTGCTCAGGACTAAGTTTTCTGATGCCGTCGTATCCGTACGCATGATCCCGACAGTAAGGATCATAGACACCAGGGTTGTGGGTGAACTCATGGAGGCAAGTAGTAGCCTGGTCTTGCGCGTGGCATTCATCGCTGATTACTGGCAGGTCGTAGTAAATTGGGCAGTTGACGACGACGTTAAGAGATGGGAGGGTGTACGCAATGGTGTTTGGTGTACACTGATTACCGCGATCGTTGCAGAAGTAGCGGGTCGCGCCGCTATCGGTTGAGGATGATTCCTGAGCAACAGCATTGAGTCGGGCAACAATAGTCTCAACAGTCTGTGCATCAGACTTCATGAAGTACTCCTCAACCTTCCGGGTATTATTCTGAGCGGCCTGCGCTGCAGCTCTTGAAAGCTGAGCAGAGTACTCGAGTGCCTTCAAAAGAGTCTCCCTTTGTTCCCCTCTGCAAGCACTCTCCACTCTGGTGCGTGCACTAATCGGATTGATTGCCTTGGAGACTGTGGCGGCAAGGGCACCGTCAATGTCAAGGTCAAGTTTGTTGGACTTGAAAGCGACAGCTCCAGCAATCGTGGTTCCATCGCCTTCCGCAAATGGGATGGCGCCCTGGGAGAAAACAGTATAGGCGCCACCACTGGCTAGATCAGCGGTAGAGGCGATATCAAATTCCCTTTCAACAGTCTGACCAGGACTGAGGGAAACAAAAAGGCTCGGCTCGAGGTTCTTCATGAGGACACGCCGCAGCATACCTTCAAATTTCACGGGTTGGCCTGGCAAGTACATCGGAGTCAGTTAGGTTTTGAAGGAAACATGATTGAGATTAGCAATACCGTCCTTGAAGACACCAGCCTTCTGGATTGGGCCGTCGTCGAAGAAATTGTTATATTTCAGCAACTTCAACTGACGGTCGGCCTTGTTGGTAATAACCGCCTTGATGCGGGTGTTACCAATAGCACTGAGTTGAACATCAAGCTCCGACCCAGTCGCCTGGGGAATGGTAAGAGAGAGGACCGGGTTTGCTAGGGCCGCCAGGGCCGCCACAATCGAGGGAAACAACATAACGAATTGAGGAGCAAAGTGTGAATAGGGGAAATTATCAGCCGGGGTACGCCAAGCAGAGTTTGATTCACCTAAAGGGCTGCTTGCTTTCTAGGGCAAACGACAGGAATGAAAAGTGATAAGCCTTCTTGGTGGTCGGAAGGGTTATATGTTCGTTCAGCATGATGCTTCGGCTCGTAATTCCTCCATCGGCCGACGTGACCATCACCGTTAGCCGCCGAAAACAATGATTCTTCATGGATTTCCAGGGTTGCATCACCGTTGATTTTAGTTGCCAAGGGATACCGATCAACATAAACGCCGTGTTCTGCTCGAGACTTATTCCCGGGGGGTTGGGACGAGGATAATATTCCCTTGTGGTGCCGGGTAAAAGCTAAAAGGAATGGCCACCAGCTATGAGAGCATCGACGGCAGCTGCCAGTGCACCGGCCATAGCTGATGCATGCGAGAGTGCCAAGTCTAGACGGATATGCTCGATAATCATTGTAGAGAAAGGACGAAAGAAAATATCGCTGCGTAACGCCGGTAATTTGGTTGCTCACGTACTGTCTCGACCGACAAGCCTGCTAGAGTTTCTATCGGGTAGTTGTGCCGAAGCTGACGTGAGAGCAGCGTATCTTAATTCCAACCCGGCTTCGAGTAAGGTCCCAAATGCGGAGCGAAGTATGTACATCCTATGGCTGAGCACACAGTGTATATGTATATATATGTATAGATTTTGTGTCTATACATCCAGCACATACGGATACCATGCAGTCCACGCACCTGGACAAATGGTCGAGCGGGAAAAAACCGAAGCCTTCTTTAAAGTGGTGGCTCCCCTTCAGCACCGAATCACCGACGACATTATCAGGCCGGCTGAGGCGGAAGGTTACCACGAGAAGAATAAACAAAAGTCGGCGATCAAAATGGCGACGCTAAGGTTTCAAGGCGTCTAATCTTGCTGATCTGCTTCAGAGATCGACACACCAGAAACGCGTGGAGACGGCGCAAAGAGGGCTTTGAAGTTGTAAGGGAAAAGGTCGCCCCTGGATCCCTGCCGTGAGGAAGCGAATGACAGGGATCTCATCCTCATCTTGGCCCGGCTCTGGCTGGGGTTTCATTGATTGATCTCCGATGCAGGCTTGGACAGTTTTTAATGAGCACCGGTGATTCAATCGAAGCAGGCGGCTTTGTTCCGTATGCTTCTAGAAAACGATACCAACTCTGCATGCCAGGGCTTTAGACAGCCAGTTTATGAACAGATCTTCGGAACTGCCCGCTCTTAGTAAAGCTTGTTTTCTTTCAGGAGTGGCCATCTGGAGAAATCTGCGCAGGCACAGACGTCTTCGTTCTGCCGTAGATAGAACCGTCCGGCTCCCGATACCCTGTAATTTGCGTTTATGTCTCCCCAAGGAGAGAAAGAATCTACCGACAATCGTGGGGAAATGGTCCATCGCGCGGGGGTCCAACCCTAGCCCTGGCTCCGACCTCCGTCCATCGAAAACATGCATCGTAGGTATCTTTGTTTGTCCAGCCCCGCACCCGGATAGCATGTAGCATTGATAGCCGCATTGCACGTCGAATCTACGGTCACGTACCCCTCTTTGAGCCCCCAGAGACCAAGATAAATATACTTGTTATGTAGACGAAGATCATCGGAATAGGCTAGCACTCCCAATCTGAAATCTGACGTGAACGACAACCTCAGCGTCGTGGTTGTTGCCCTTGGCTAGAATTCCAAGCGAAAGCTGGGCTAATATTTGACCGAAGAAGTTCACCGAGTCTGTGTCGAGCCGAATTTCCATCAGGGAGCAACCCCGGGATTCATTGCTGACGGATTCTTCTCAAGGGGCCATGGTATGCACAGTACATCCGTACATCTCGGAATAGAGTCAACGGTCGTTGCAGCAGGAGACGAAGGTCGACAGTAAGCAGGGGTTATAACCCGGATTGAAAGCTTGAGAAATCAATCCGTCCCCCTGTTACTGACTTTGTCACCGTCACATGCCTGTCGTCAAAGTGGGAATGAAATAGGATTTGGTCCTAAGCAAATGAAAAATGGGGTCACAGTTGGTTCAGGCCCAAACAGAGCAGTGAATGGGGGATTGACGAGTTAACTAACTAACTAGTTATGGTTACGCTGCAGCAGCTAGTTACCAAGACAAAGACCAAAAACGTCAAACAACTGCAAACCTGAACAACCAAAAAACCATCACTGAGCACAACAGATACCCAGATTTCTCTTCCTTTGAGCCAAAATCAATATCATGTGCAAGGAGATATCACAATAATGGTGAATCTCATCGCAAAGATTCGTAGAGACCTGTTTGATGTGCTGCTGATTCATATGTGCTGCTCTCACGTCTTTTCCCCTCTTTGGAATACTTCACTTCAATTCTTTGTGATGATTTAGTACCTTGAGATAGTACTAGATACATTGCTGTACACTCTGTCTTATCCTGAGCAGACAATATGCCTATTCTGCCTCAAATACTCAGATGCGTGCAACTGCCGGGGATCCTGGGGAAAAGGGATTGCTGAAGCTTTCAAGGCAAAGGTGACTTGATTTCTACCTGCTGCTGTGCTTCTATCAGAGCGGATATCCAGTTTGCTTCCATATAAAATCTTGGACGGCATTCTTTTAAGCTGTTGAAGTTGAAGTGGGAGCATATATCAGAGATGACTCACTGGAATCGCGATCATACCCCGTACCCTCAAGACTCGAAATTCTATTCATTACTAGGAATAATGCACCAGTACCCGGCCGCATTCCGTCTCTTCCGCGCTCACTGTCGAAAATACCTCCCACTGCAAGCCCAAAACCAGAAACAACCAAGACACATCCGCACATACGAATGGGATATCAGACACGGTGGGCAGTGATAGTAGCGGCACTAGATACCCCGAGGGCACAGTCCTGATAACCCCGCCCCAGCCACAAGATTACAATCCCCAGTGCCCCAGACTCGACATGCGATGGAAGAGGGCGCGGAAGAGGGCACGAGGACGAGGAGCGCGAAGGAGAGCACGAGGAGTTGCAAACACAACTGCATATGCACCAGCTGCTCCATCTAAAAAGCACTGGATAGTCTGCCTCTTCATGTCCTGGCACTACGGCCCGCGAAACCGGGACCCATCAGAGGTACCTCTGCGGAATACAGTCAGTGTGGTAGTGGAATTTGAAGACGCAGGTGGAGAGATTCCGTCGGGAAGGACAGGGTGCGGGGAAATTGTTTGCATGCAAGTTCAATTCAGGACTCTTTGCTGTGCCATGGGAGCAGACAAGAGAAGTCCCTCAGAGGTCAGGGTTGGAAGTGACTGTTGTGAGTCGCATGGAGGAGTGGTTTATTTGGGATTTGGCCTAAAGGAGTGGCTTGCAGTTCTAAAGTACCCTAGACTTACCCATTTTCTATCCCGTTATGCTTCTGATGTTCTGATACGACAAATGCATAGAATTCCAATCAATGGAATTATCATTCAAGCGTCGATCCTGGCTACCTCCTGGCTACGAAGGCTCAGTATCAACACAGTCTCCTGTAGCACAGGAAATATTTGCCTTCCTCCACTCGAGAATGCCGATTTACACAATGGTATGTGATCAGATTCTCCAGGCTGTTCAAGTACTATGCCAAGAAGCACTTGTTTCGTGCAGCGCTTGCGCGATGTTTGCCTCTTCCCCCCATCGACAGGGGGTCGACATGATGCAGTATCACCCATCTCTCCACATTTATCCCAGCACCCAGCCAGCCATCACAGAACTCCGGGGCGGCCCGCGCGGGAGACAACCCTAATGACGCCCTTGATTCCTGATCCACAATATCTGGAGTACTCAGGCTGGCTGAATCTGGGATACTAACAGTCCATAATCCCTGCTGATATTGTGATTGAGGCGAGTGGGAGAGAAACATCACTACTCCTCCAATTATTCTTCCATGACACGCGAAAGACCAGTTGCAGCAGCATCTGATGGTCTCTGGATGAGGGGAAGTCGGATATTTAAGCCCATCTATTTCCTCTTGGGACTTGATTGCCTTGTCTGCTTATCTCCTCACTTCAGCTCCTATTCGCCTTTATTTGTTCATTTCTTTTAGGCAAAAGCTCACTCTTCGCATCATGGCTACAGCCCACCCTGAAGGAGAGGTCTTCTTTAGGAAAAGTTCTCTCAAGCTAGACACATTCAATGCTGATGATCCCAGGTCCTTTTACGGACATTTCCTAATTGAGTTCGCCAGCAACGAGTACTTTGCAAGACAACACCACGAGTTGCCCCCAGCGCGAACGCATCCGCGCTCAACGTATCGCCGCGAAAGGGCTTCTGGCGTTCCAGACCGCCAGTGGCGGTATGGATTTTGGGAGGAACTCCCTGTTAGTCTAGGGCAAGCCGACAGCATACGCAGGCGTTTTAACGTCCCTCTGGAGACTACTGTCAACCGTTTTAGGGACAGAGCCAATGGTGGCGCTCAGCATGTGAGTAAATAGTACATGCAATCTAGGTTTTCCATCTGTTGCTAACCATCCGTGTCTCTCCGCAGGTTTGGGTCCATCCTTGCCCGATGCCCACCGAGCAAGAAACGTGGGCCTGGTTTGATGTCAGTACCTTATCGGGATGCTCCTGTTCTTCGCTCGAAAGAGAGAAGTCTGACGCGCCAATAGATGCTTATCCCGATTCGTGCCATCTATCTTCCACTATCGCAGGCGGCAGAAGAATCCTTCCCCCATCTTTGCACATATGTCCAGATTGTCTTTTATCAACAAGGCGTGCGGGACGTATGGCGTCCAAACCAGGGCCGGTTTCTAAGCCATACATTTACCACTACCCATGGAGTTGGTTTTGCTCTCGGCTTTACATTGGGCATCAACATTCACGGTATGTTGGACTACCTACCTACCTAATTGGCTTTTTTTTATCACTAATTTTCCACGTGCAGAAAGCATGAAGCTCCTTGGTCTACCACCAAAACTCCGTAATACTAATATTTGGCGAGAGAAGCTGATCGTCATACGCGGTCGCGACGAAATTAGGACGCAAACCAGGACTGCGCTGCCCCCGCCCCGGTTTGATTTTGTCGACTTCATCAATGCCAATTTCGCCGTTGAGGTGATTTGGAAGCCCGTGCCGCCACGAAGCTCGTTCCTCCTTAACCTCATTGAAAATCTTATAACCGCCGCCCTGGACCTGGTCCCTGTCGTGGGACCCCTATTGTCGGCTAGTTTCACAGCTGCATGGCTTGCAATTACTGATCCAGAAGCCTTCGCAGAGTGGGCGGCAAACGGTGGCTGGTTACCTGATTACCTTGATGCCATGAGATCTAGTTGCCGTTCCATGGGGAAATACATCGATCCAGGGTTCTTGAGTGGTGTCCGCGCCATTTCACGGAGGGGCCTCCTACTTCCGCCTGCAACAGACGGCAATCACAGTAACGAGAGCCAAGTTGTCGTGCCTCCAGCCCAAACTTCCACCAGCACCATGGAGGATTCTGTCGAATCATCCAACCTAGCCGACGTGGGACCATCTGCGGTCCTACTCTCTGGGCTTCGCATCATTGCCTTCTCTGCCACCAGCGGCAAGACTGCACACCAAGATGGCGAGCTGCATAGCGACATTCTGCGCCGAGCAGTGCGCTGTGACGCTATGAGCCTCGAGGAGGCCTTCGCGGTTCAAAGAGGTCTCGAAGCGCTGCCTGATGGCGGCGACGATTCGGAGGACGGTGAAATATCAAAGCTGTAGGGGGTAGAACACCCACTAATCATTGGGAAGACTTGGGTATTAATCATCTGCTGCCGACAATATCTTGTGACTCTGCCTTGTTTGACTTCATCCAATCATTCTGAATTTTCTGCTGTTGTGCTGCGAGATTCATAACATTCTGATTTCAGGGAAAAAAAAAAGGAAATTAATATTATATTGCTAAGTAACAAGAACTATTAAAAGTATAGCACAGTGCTAACCAGTATGCTAATTATCAGATTGAGAAGTAGATAAATTAAACTGTAAATACTAGCTTTAGCAAGTTAATATCAAGTATTTTTTTATCTAATCATCTGTATTAACTATCTTCTTTCTAGATTGAAAAAGCAAGAGAGATACCACTGTGCTGTTATCCGTATTAATAGAAAATGAAAAAAAAAAAAAAAAAAAAAATTCTCAATCTACTTCTTGACTTATCAGCAGATCTGTTGCATAAATAAAAGGATGTAACTTAAAGAAAATAATTCTGCCCAGTTATTAATACTCTTCCGGGGTCCAGCGTTAATCTAGTAAACCGGAATATGATAATGAGATAATTGTTGAAGATCTTGATAACAGCTGTTGGAAATAATTATAATGATGAGATGGTTGAAGATGATCTTGATGATAAGATAGCTGTTAGAAATATTGATGATGGTTGCTGGAGATGATTGTGATGATGAGCTGATTGTTGAAGCCATTGACAATGAGATGGGATTCTACCACAAACCATTGGTTGAAGTAGGGGAGTCGCTCCCAAGCGATCAGCAAGCTAATGATAGATCTAGTTACGTCTTGCAAATCAAATAGTTATGTAGTTAGCTATGCAGGGAATCCCATCAGTTGGAATATCAGATGAAGCGATAAAGAGCTGCTCGGCATCATGCAGAATGGGTGCTTGGCGGCTGGCCTGTTGACAGCTTCGCGCTAAGGGTCGACGATATAGGAGCGGTGACTTGGAGGCGAACCGAAGCTGGTTGATGCATCCCTGCTCGCCCTCCCCCGGTCGCGGCCAGAAAGCGACGATGATGACGAATGGTGACAATGATGGAGCCTATCAGGCATTGGCGTTTCACCAGGATCAATCTCCACTGGAGTTCATTCGCCTTTTAAGACGGCGATTTTTTTTACGCCCATTGTGAAAATACCAACCTGCTCTCATTGCTGACACCAACTCCCTTGCTAGCTGGAATATCGATGACCTGGACAGGAAGTCTGCTTACCCGCCTGCTTCCACTGAGCCTTGCAGTGCTCAGTATCATCTTCTATTTCTCGAACAATTTTCTCTCCGTCATGACTTCTCCTGTGTCCACCCCTTATTCTGTCCCGCGTGTCTCAATCGCCGCGACCCGCGACGTCCTGGGAACCGGTGAACCTTGCGAGCTCGAGGTCGCCGTCCATAACGATGACGCACAGTCGACCATGACGGTCCTGGGCTGGAATAGCCCGCTCGACAAGATGGCAGTCATTCTCGGAGTATACGAGATACGTGATCGCGAGACGGGTGAAGTGGTCGAAATGGACAGAATACAGGTCTCCAGACTACTTCCCCCACCTCCCGAGAGTTTGGTTGAAATTAAGCCGAAGGAGTCGGAGAAGCTGCATGTCGTCCTGAAGGGCGTTAACCTGCCTCCAGGCCGCACGTATACGATCCGTGCTGAGGGATGGTGGCAGTCAGTCTGGCATTTACCCAAGGAAGAGGTGATTTCAAGATACTTAGCAGATCAGTCCGGGGCCATTTCTGGGGATTTCCTGTCCAATACCGTCGAGGTTACACAAGTGAGCAAGCCGTAATTGACCTCTTTCCTCCGGTTTCATTTGTCTAACTGATTTGCTTCACCCAGTCCTAGGAATAGCACCAAGACATCCTTTTTACTGCTTATTTGCCGCCTTATGCGGCTGGTTATGCTTCTGACTTTGTGTGTAACTGCGATTAATTCGAACCTTTTATTTTAACACTGAAATTCTTGCTTAACTATCCCAGCACGCCCCTGTCAAGCAGGAGCCTATGGATAGGCAAATATTAATTGACATGGCATACTCTCTGGCCCAAGACTGCTACTGACTTGGTTCATCATCCTCGTCCATGTCAGCGCCGTCTTCTAGGTTCTAGATGCAAAAGGATCTCCAACTGGCGAACGGCATTAGCAACCAACAGATAATGTGAAGATCACCCCAACAGATGAAGAATTGGCATGTCCATTCAAGACGTTTCAATTGTTGTCCTCATGGAGGTGTAAAAGAAAACGGTCCAGCTGAGGCGAGGTCATAGCGAGTTCATGATGATGGAGATTGTCCAGGCACCCTGCTACTTCCAGCAGGAGCTCTGCTGTAAAGAGTTCCAAGCCCGACATCATCTTGAGGGACACTCCTGTTAAGAGGAAAAAGCAAGAAAAGGGCAAAAAAAAAGGGAAAGTCGCGTAAATTAACCAGATCAAGCAAAAGTTAAGGTTCAACAACAGTCACAATGAGAGAACAAAAGTGATTTGGACGGTAACAGATGGAGGCAAGGATTGTAGGATGAAGATGTCAATTGTTGCCGCCAGAGAAGATCCCAACTCACCTTGTTTTGAAACCGATTTGATAACTATGAGATTAGTTGGATGGGAGGACATGGAGGTTATCAGCGAGTTATATTCTATTATATGTATGGAGTATGTATGTACGTGTGTACATCATGCTTGTTTATTGTGCGGACGGTCACAGACAAAATGATATCAGTCACTCCAGGAGTAGTTAACCAATTTTCATTTCAAACATGCAAAAACTCAGTAAAGTATTCTTTTTTATCAAAGTTTCTCAAAAGTTGGCTTGCGCTTCTGCAAGCCAGATAAGAGCGCGGTGGGCACATCGGCAGATTGGAGCGCGGCACTATTCCAGACGCCGGTATATCGAAGGCCTAATTGAGAGGGAGGAGTTAGCATGACCAAGGGAGAGGCTGAAAGCGATTCTGCATACCATCTTGGATGTTATGATCTCTCGACCAGTTCAATAACTCCTTCGTCCCCTGTACTGCGATAGGGCTCTTACTCGCCATCAACTCTCCGAGTTCAATGGCAGCTTTCACCGAGTCATCTTTGCTTTCATACACCGAATTTACAAACCCCACTCTCATCGCCTCTTCTGCACCGAAAACCCTCGCCGTCAAGCATACCTCTTTCACCCAGCCGAAGTGGCCCACGACCTTGGGGAGCCGGGTAAGAGTTCCAATGTCGGCGGCGATACCGATATCCACCTCCTTGACACAGAACTGCGAGTCCCTTGAGCAGATTCTCACGTCCGCTGTGCTCGAGATATCGATGGCGAGGCCGTAGTTGATGCCGTGCATCACGCAGATCACCGGCTTCTCGCACTTTTCGACCGCCGTAATGCAGTCCTGGAAGCCGGCAACATGTCGGCGCAGCTGAGCAGCGGCTCTTCCCGGATCTGGGATCTCAGCTTCGCCCTTGCCGCCAAGCACGCCCTTTGCTGCCGCTTTGACGTCCAGACCGGCGCTGAAAGCGCGTGGCCCGGCACCGGAGAAGACGACGGCACGGACGTTGGGGTCGACGGAAAGCTGATCGAAAACCTGGCGGAGCTCAATCCACATACTGTTTTAAGGAAAACAGTGAGATTAGCAGAAAATCTAAAGGGAAGAGTAAACCGGCAAGCACGTAGCCTGCAGGACGTCGGGGGGGAAAACGCACTCCTCGAAGTAGGCATTGAGCTTATCCGCCCGGTTCGTTTCCACATGGGCAATATATTCCCTAGGGAAAGTGACGTTGAAATGCTTCGGGTTGTACGAAGCTGATCCGTGGCCTGTCATTTTTGTTCTGATACAAGGTCAAGGGACTGACGCAAGGTCAAAGTAGCTGACGAAGTGGATTTGGGTTCCGCCTTGGGCAGTCGGGGCGTAGACGATCAAGGTTGGGCCAAAGCGACACCAGACGGTGATATTGGGAGGATAAGAAAGGAGGTTTTAAAGATGGCCTTTTGCTTCTGAGGGCTCCAGATCTGCTTAGCCATTTTTCGGAACGCGGTTCAGGGTCGTTTGTCGTCTCGGATGTCCGTCGTCGCTGGAGGTGTGAGCGCTTGTGGAGGGGGTTGGACCTCGGCTCATTGCGCAGGACGCAGCTCTGGGCAACAACCTGCGAATTGGTCCGTTTGGAATGATAACCTTATTATAGCGCATGTTGGACGAACTACGGAGGACTCAAGGAATCATGGCCTTTGAGTTTCAAGCTTCCCTAAGCAACTACAGAAAGAATATAAACTACATACGGAGTATGCGTGGTATTGTGACCAGGGTCCTCTTGTTCGAGCAATAGAGTATCAACCGATGTAACTGAGAAAGGAAGTTGACCAAGGACAGAGGACAGCTCATGGGAAGAGAAAAAGGGCTAGGATCTCAACTTGGGCATCAGCTGGAATAAAGACTTAGTCTTTGTGCATGGCCAGTCTCGAACGAACCGCAACTCCTGGTGGAAGAAGAAGCACAAGTGTTATTTCTCAACCGAGGGAGCAACATCTCGCCTTCACTAGGATCTCAGGTCTAGATGGCCTTATCACCGACGTTGGCGTGGGCGGCACGCGGTACATCCAAGCTGGCGATTCACCTCGAACGTGTTTCGTTCCCGTTCGACTGTCCCGAGTAGGCGCGCTTCCATGCTTTTGCATAATCAATATTAGGCATAGCAGATTTCGAAGCAAAATGGCGGATTCCGGCGGCGGCGGACAGATCACTCGGACTCCGATTCCTCTGGTTGCATGACCTTCTCATCGAGCTCCTACGGCGCGAAACGTGTCAGGAGAAATCAATCGAGAGGGGGGTCAACCATTAAACATACCCGACTCAGGCGCATCTTCAAGTTCTGGAGTTGACTTTCCTTGACGACCAGGTGCCTGTCATCGTCCAGATCCTCAACAATGTAATCGTGTCTCTCCTCATCGTATTTGAGGATGATGGCCTTGACGGATGGATCGCATTCGATCAGTACTCCTGGATATGGGTCAGAATACTGTTACGTACGCAGCAGGGGAAGCGGAATGAGGACCTTTGACTGCACGAGGCATCCTGACCAGCAGGTTGTTGCGGATATAACTGGCGTGTTTCCACCGTGGAGCCCTTGAATCTCTCGTCCGGCCTGTAACAGGATAAACTCGATGAGATCAAATGCCAAGGCGGATTATTTATCTATCCGATATCCGAGAGCTAGACCCGGTTGGGAAGGGCGTGGCGATAGCAGGGCTAACCGTAAGCAGATTAGCTCCTAGCGACAGTTTTTCAATTTTATGTTTGGCAGTTTAGTTACGTAATATCCAAGTTAACTCCACGGAGCATCTCGGTCGAGTACGGACCTCAGTTACCCGCTAGTTAACAGCTCCAAGCACTCCGTCTGTCGCTGACAAGCTAACCACTAGTCAGAAATTGCCCTGAAGGCCGAAAATCCGCCACAACATTCGAGAAAAAGCTTAATTGCGCCGCTCAATGCTTAACCTCAACGTCGGGTTTTGGCCCCTTGAAATGCTGTCGTCGACGATTGCTAGTTACCTATATACCTGTTACCTAAGCTATAAGGGGTCAGAAGATCCCAGAAGACACAACGCTGGTGGTTAGGGCGCTGAGGAAACACAACGTTGAGCGGTCCCTGCCCGGATCTGGGAGGAGTTGTTGACCACAGATCGCCCAGTTGGTGAGTCAACTAACGCACGGACTAGCGGGCCACCGATCAGCTGTACCGCAGATCTCGGCCCAGCATATCCGTGGAAAGACTTACTAGCGTACGGAAATTATGTACTCCGTACTAGCTGCTCATCGAAGTCCGTACCGTAGTCCGTGCATTTATAAAACATCGCTGGACATCTGACCCGTGGCTATCGTATGTAGGCGACCTCAGCCGCTCGTGCTCAGTCCGGCATCAATGATGGTTAGATGTCTCTGCACAGACTACGGCTGGGACGGGTATTGCATTGCTTCTGTGCGGGTGTTCATTCCATTCATCTCCGGAATTGATCCGTGCCTGCAGCCAGAGTGCTTCTTCCAGTCACTCCCTGCTGGCACCATAGAAATCGGTCGACAGAAGATCTCAGCCAGGGGGTCCGTCCGTATTATGTGCGTCCGTATGTGTCTGTCCATATGCATGTGTGCGTGTGTGTGTGTGTGTGTGTGTATGTATGTATGTTTGTATGTACAGTACATGCACCGATCAGCGGAGAGCCTTCCAGAGATTCCACGGACCTACCAGCTTACACATCTGTCATATGCCCAAAAAGTACGTGTTACACATCCCTTACCTGTTGTTTGCCAGGATCTCAAGGCTGAAGAGATCATAGTAACGAAGGATACGATGTTCTCTTACCATCTCTCAAAGACGTTAGTCCCGCAAATCTCGGGAATTATACACATACCTGGGTTAGACTCTCAGTCTCCGCACGATTCGAGGGATCTCCGGCTGGGCCTCTTCCCCATTAAACTATCTCTCCAGACTTTCTTCCTTTGAATTCGTGGGGAAAGTTGGTGGGATAAGGTCAAGAGGACAAAGGTGAAAAGCAACTCTATCGAGACTATCGATCAAGCCTGATTGGCTCCTTCAAGGAAGAACGCTGCTGTTGGCGTTCGGATGTCATGGAGCTCGATTAGACGAAACACCTGGTCACTTGCTGTGGACGTTACATCTTCGATGGAGAGTTTGGAGAGCGCCGGAAAGTCTCCTCGTAACTTTCCTCCAATGGCATCGCGCAAATCGCAACACCTGACGTCATGGAGGTGTGGATCAGAAAATTCAATGCAAACCTTGAAACGGATATTTTTGTGCCTTGTGCGGGCTTATGCCTCTTATGGAGAGACATGGGGAGTGGTGGCCAGCACTTTGTGCGCGCCACTCTCAGACGGAGTCTTGCCCTCCGATCCCGCGTAGCTTAATTCTCTTTCGCCGGAAAACCCGTTGGGTTCACACCCGCTGCCGGTGCGAATTGGAAGAACCTGCAGCGGTATATATTCCACCTCTTCCCAGCCGCCGGTGCCCCGTTGTCTTAACATTGTGTCACACACATATCCCACACATATTCTTTCTCCCTGTGGGCCAAGCACCTGTATAAAGGAAGATAAAGTTTTTGGGTTATCAGGACCAGCAGTAGGCCTTTCGAGAATGGCGATCACAGTAGGGACTGATACAAAACCAGTTGAGGGACTCGGAGGAGATGGATTGGTCCATGAGAGAGGTGATATCGAGAAAGACACCCAGAGTGTGGAATATCTACCCGGCTACGATGTCAGACAGAACGATCAGAACGACCCGTTTGGCAATGAAGAGTTCGCGGACGTCAAGTACAAAGTGATGACTTGGTGGTAAGCATTGAAGATTTTCGACGTCACTTCGCAGCAGCAAAGCTAACCGGCGCTCTAGGCAATGCGGAATGAGTACGCACAGCCAACTTGTATTTGACGAATTGAAAGAGCCATGATTAACATCTCACAACCTTTTTCTCATAGTCATGATTGCGGAGACCATTTCCCTCGGGATTTTATCATTGCCTTCGGCGGTGGCAGCTTTGGGCCTGGTTCCTGCTATCATAATCATTATTGGGTTGGGCATATTAGCGACCTACACTGGATACGTTATCGGCCAATTCAAGATGAGGTATCCGCATGTCCATAACATGGCGGATGCCGGAGAAATCCTCTTTGGGCGCATTGGACGTGAGATTCTTGGAGGAGCCCAGCTTCTCTTCCTGATATTCATCATGGGCAGCCATGTGCTCACGTTCATTGTGATGGCAAATACCATCAGTGATCATGGAACCTGCAGCATTGTATATGGCGTTGTGGGCATGATCGTCTCGCTCATCTGCACGTTGCCACGGACGTTGAAGAACGTATCCTGGCTATCGATTTCATGTATGATGATTCACATCAAGTTCCTGAGAGATGGTCGCCGGCGGTGCTAACCACCTATTGCACAGCGTTCATCAGTATCTTCGCTGCGGTGATGATAACTATGATCGCGATCGGTATCGAGCGGCCGGGAAAACAGGTCGACGCCACGGTCGAAGCAAGCTTCTATCACGCTTTCCTCGCGGTGACGAACATCATCTTTGCATATGGTATGCCGCTCTTTCTGATAGTGGGAGACAGGGGTTGAATCTCAGACCCTAACTTTTTTGACAGCCGGTCACGTTGCCTTCTTCGGGTTCATCTCTGAGCTGAAAGAACCCGAAGGGTATCCCAAAGCCTTATACTTGCTCCAGACGACAAATACCATACTATATACCGTCACTGCGGTGGTGATCTATAGATATGGAGGAAGAGATGTCGCCTCTCCAGCACTGGGGTCCACGGGCCCTATCGTCCGAAAAGTAGCGTATGGGATTGCCATACCGACGGTGAGTCTGCTCCTACAGCCATTAACGGACGGCGACATACACACCTTGCACGCTGGTAGGAACTAAACATTGCTTAGATTGTGATCGCTGGTGTGATCAATGGCCACGTTGCCGTGAAGTACATATATGTGCGGATTTTCCGCGGCACTGATCACATGTCCAAGAGAAACTTCCTCTCGATTGGCACCTGGGTTGGTCTTGCAGTACTGTTGTGGGTGCTCGCTTGGATTATCGCAGAGGCGATCCCGGTGTTCAACAACCTCCTAAGCTTGATTGTAAGTTTTGATATCATTCTGCGTAGGATGGAACGACCTATGCTAACAACAGGTGACGATAGACCGCGCTGTTTGCCAGTTGGTTCACTTGTAAGTTGAACCCCCCCCCCGGCGGGAGTCTTTAGTGAAAAGCCTGAGAAGACTTTGTTGTCTGAAGAGTTGCTGATCGAATTGATCCCAGACGGACTTAGCGGCGTTTTCTGGCTCTATCTGAACTACGGCAAGTACACATCATCGCCGAGAAAGATATTCCTCACGGTGTTGAATGTGTTTGTGTTTTGCGCAGGTGCTGCAATTGTACGTGGCTGCATTCCCCCCTAGACCCCCCAGGAGGGTCTGTCTTGCTTTAAGAGAGGCTCACCACAGCTAACGATGTGGCGATGTAGTGCGGATTGGGCCTGTATGTCTCCGGACGGGCAATACGCGAGAGTTCCAGCGGCGCTTCATTTTCATGTGCGAACAATGCCTGAGTCATGTTACCGTGAAGCGTTGCATTTTTTTTTTCTTTTTTTCCCTTAATGGACTGGTTTTGAATTTGTCCACATCCTCGCATCTGACACTATCCGGTTCGGCGAACGGCGAACCAAATTATCCTAACACCGAGGCCGAATGATACCCCATGAGCAGTTGTAAGATAGAGCGACATGTATATAGAGCTACCTAGAAAGCATGGATTACTACCCTTTTTTTCCTCTCCTCACCGTTCGACTCATCCCTGTACGTTTGCTTGAGAGAGTCCTTTCTGGTAATCGTGTTGGTTCGTCTCGCGCATGGGGGGCATGACGGTTGTCAACGCTAAGAAGGACCACCCAGAGAGTCAGACCCCGACAGACGGGGGTTCAAAGCGAACGAGTAAGGCACATACCTTTCGAGAAGAGGCTGGTGGCAAACGGGAGCTGGCGGAACATCGCAGGTAGCCAACACCCGACGAGCTTGTCTCGCTAGCCGCTGCTCGACGTTATCCGAGGCGAAACGTAACATCGCGCCGTTTTTGTGACTAAGCAGCAACAGTTCCCCCCTCACGCCGTGCCGAAAAGAGAGAAGCGTGTGTCACCAGGAGTTAGAAGCTGGCCGTCCTCCGTTGCAACGAGCGGCAAATGAGCCAACAAAGCACCTTGGGTCTGCGAGATCGGGGGGCTGTAGGGGCCCAAGTTTTGCGATGGCTGTGCTGGAATTTGCCAGCAGATGTGGAGTTTCTTTCCTTTCTATCGAGCCCACATCACAGAGTTTTTCTTTGCCTTTTCGATTTTGCGCATCCCGCCCAGGCGCTCCACCGGTTGAGTCCCGCCCAAATTGCTGCTGAACTGGCTGGAGTCTTAGGGAGAGGAGCCTAGATAGGTATGTAAAGTCTGTCTCGAAGTGTGGAAGTTTTGATCTTGGATGGGAGTTAAATGAGCATGTACATATGTAGGTATGATCTAGTTAAAGAATGCTACTAGTGGCGGACAATATCGGAGGAGAAACAGCAGCAAGATCGCTCTCGAACCAACAAGAAACTCCTGTAAAATGGCCGTCCCAACTTTTTACAACATGATCGAGTCTCCCATAACCATCAGCCAGTCAGTGCACACGGAGCGAAATTGACTATCCTGGCAGAGGAACCGAGGATTTTCGATTTTCTCTTTTATAAAAAAAAATAAAAAATAAAAAATAAAAATAAAAAAGTTAAAAAAGAAGAAGAAATAAGAAATAAGAAAATACACATGGGAGAAAAAAGGCATGGGGGAGATACACAAGAAAATGGGGGTATTAGAAATGAGTTATCCATGCTGATAGAACAAATGACTTGACAAAAGAAAGCGTCAACACAAGGCTAAAAGTGCGGCGTGTTCAAGGCCATCAACATCAGGAGACCGGAGACCAGACCGGCGCATGGAAGAGTTAGAACCCAACCGCCGAAGATCCAGAGGAGCTGGCGCCAGTTGACGGCGCCGAGATCGTAGTTCATCAGGGCGGTTCCGACGGTGGCACCGGTCAAACACTGGGTGGTGCTGACGGGGAGACCAAGGCGGGATGCGAGTAGGACGGTGATGGCGGCTCCGAGTTCCATCGAGAAGCCACGGGTGGGTGACATCTGGGTGATGCGGTTGCCGAGGGCGCGGATGATGTGGAAGCCGAAGAACCAGAAACCGGCACCGAGGAGGAAACCGGCGATGACGAGGATCCAGATTGGGGTGTCGGTCTTGGTCTGGACGATACCAGCGCGATAGGTCTCGTAGGCGGCGACCCAGGGTCCTACTGCGTTGGCAACGTCGTTGGAGCCGTGAGCGATGGACATGACCATGGCGCTGGCGACCTGGGCGTAGGTCCACAGGTGCTCGACCCTGTTGTCGTAGCGGGCGGCGCGGGCGTGGGTTGCGGCGAGGCGGTCGGAGTCGTGGGTGACGCAGTCGCGGGTGACACCCTGGAGCAAGAAGTACTTGACAAAGGACCACAGGCGGAGCGGATGGAAGATGGCGAGATGGCGGTAGGGGGCGAGGAAACGCTCATCGGGCTCGAGATGCTGTTTTGCGGCCAGGGGGCTCTGGGCGGGGCCCACGGGACCCTTTTCGATGTTGGCGGCATCGGAGGAGTCACCGCCGTTCTCCTTCTTCAGGTCGTCGGGAGAGTCCGCGGTGCGGTTGTGGGAGCTCTCATAGTAATCGATGACGCAGTCGCCGTCGGCGGGAGCGGGCCAGTAGATCCAGGGGTCGTCCTTCCACAGGAGTGGGCCGAGCGGGATGTGTCTGGCGCGGAGACGGGCGTCCTCCTTGACGAGACGGCGGTGGAAGTAAGGGAGGAAGAAGGTGTAGGCGATGGCGAGGCAGCCGAAGAAGACACCGAAGATGATGCCGCACATCTTGCCGACGCCAAACTCCTCGAAGGACTGGCCATTGGGGATCTCGACGATGATGAAGAGGGCGAGGATGGCGGCAGTGAATGCGAGGTAGAAGGGGATCATGCGGAGTGCCCACTTGAGGGAGTCGGAGCGGTTGTGGACGGAGTACTTGATGGTCGCGAAGATGAGGGCGGAGAAGCCTGCGGCGATGGCGGGAGCGATACCCCAGGAGGCAGCAACCTGGGAGACGGAGCCGCTGGTCCACTCCCACTTGATAGAGGCCTGAGAGGCGAAGCCGACGCCGATGAGGGCGCCGACGACGGTCTGGGTGGTGGAGACAGGGAAGCCCAGGGAGGTGGCAGTGATGAGCCAGAAGGCGCTGCCGACCTCAGCGCAGCCCATGCCGAGGATGAGGGTAGCTGGAGCGGGATTGAAGCGGTTGATGTCGATGATGCCGTTCTTGATGGTCTTGGTGACGCGAGAGCCGAGGGCGACGGCGCCGACGAACTCTGTGATCATGGAGAGGACACCGACCTGCGGCATGGTGAGGGTGCGGGCGGCGACGGAGGTCGCGTACGAATTGGCGACATCGTTGGCACCGTTACCGAAGGAGCTCGCGCAGAAGGCGATGGAGATGATGGCTATGATCCAGTCATACTTCTCGAGGACGGCCATCGCGAGTGGATGGAATTGGAAATTGGAGTTGTCGTTGGAAGGTCAGCACGCGTTCTCGTTCTCTCTCTTTTCTTTTTTCTTTTTTCCTTCCTTTCCTGCTTTCGTGCTTTCTTTCTTATTCTCTCTCTCTCTCACACACACACACACACACATACACACACACTCTCTCTCTATGTGTATGAGTTGGGTGATGGATATCTATATGTTGATATAACTCTCTGGGCACCAGGGATCAGGGAAGAGGAGTGAAGGGAGAGAAGATGAGGGAGGGAGAGATTCTTATAGAAGCTGAGAGGGTACCGGGGGGTGTGTGTTGATGCAAGGTTCTTTCGCGCTCTCTCTGTCTCTGGGAGGGGGACCCTCGTGCTTCCCTTGGGATTCGCCTCGTGGGTGTGGGTAAGAGGAGCAAGTGGTGTGAAAAAAAAAGAAAATGGGAAAGACGGCAAAAGAAAAAGAAAAAGAGCACGAGGCAGAGTGCGTGAAGAGAGATTGGGAGGAGAGGGCAGAATTAAAAAAAAAAAAAAAAAAGAAGAGAGACAGCGAGAGAGAGAGAGAGAGATAGCCAAACGGGCCAACGAGGAGGCAGGATCCGCGGACGTGGGCAGGCAGCTTGAACCACGGAGCGCCAAGGCCAGGCGGCGCGGATGCCGAGACCGGGTCTTGCCAAGCCCTCCACCGCGGTCAGAGGAGAAAGTCTGATGGGGGGGCGGGCCGGGGGTTTGTTAAGAGAGAAAGATTTTGGTCGTTTGGTTGGTTTTAGGTTTTTTTTTGCTTTTTCTTCCCTTGTCTTAGGGGTGTCGCGGACCAATGGGAGGCCCGAGACAGGGCACGTTCCAGCGACGCGCTCCTCGAGACGAACAACTTTTCCAATCCCGCCGCCCCAAAAAACTGCGACCGTGGGACGAACGAGAGAGAGAGAGTATGAGAGCTGGTCGAGCTGCCTTGCCAAACCCGCAACGTGCTGCCCGTCGACGCCTATCATTCGCCCGTCCACGCTATCGGGTTCTTCGCTTCCCTGTTGAACTGGCTGTTTGCCTTCATGTCGTGCGCAAGGCGAACTCGCGTGGGGAACGAACACAAAACAATTTTAAATCAGGGAATTAAAAAAAAAAGAAGAATAAGAATAAAGATAAAAAAAATCCAAAAAAGCTTAGTCAAAGGCCTGAGTCGCCGTTAAGTTCGTTACCCTAACCGAGTTGAAACGGGAATGAAGGGAAGGGAAGGACAATGCTAGATCAGCCCACGACTTAGGCACAGAGTACTCCGTACGGAGTATGGGCTTACTCCGTGCACAAGTTAAACACGGCAATATAACCGGTCCTCGAGTTACAGCTGACACAAGCTACCGTCTGCCTAAACCTCACACTTCCTTCACTCCAGGTCTGAGGAGGGGGGAGAGAGAGAGAGCGTGTCTGGATGGACTGAAGCACGCACATCGGATCCTCCGTACTCCTCCATCCATCCTACGCACGCGATCAATCTCTAACTAACTCAACCGACGAGCTCCAAGACTCACATGGGCTGCTTTTCTTTAATCTCTTCGTGTTCGGCGTTTCTGACCAGACTCTTTGCCGTCCTCCGCCTGCCGCCTGCTGTCAACCTGGTTTAATGCCGCAACAGCGCAAGGTTTCTTTTTTCTTTTTCGTCTGCACATCTTTTCCTTTTTTTTATTTTATTTATTTAATATTTTTTTTTTTTTTTTGTTTCAACTATTATCTGCCTGCCCAGACTCGATCCAAGGGCCGTCCCGTAGCCTGCACTGCTGCAATAGCTCTCTTGAAATAGGAATTTGGTCTCGAGACACCCCCTCACGTCCCAAAAAATAACAATAAAAAAGGAGCATCTCTACCCTGACTCAAGGCTTGATTTTCTTTTTCTTTTCCCTTTTTTTTGTTTGATACCTACGACATGTGGATGCTGTATTCGAGCCCTAGCTTAGGATTCGAAGTGCTCTCTTGGCCTCAAGGTGTGTTTTAACACCCATTCATCCTCCTGCTCCTCCTCCTCCTCCTCCTCAACACATAACGTGTAGGCACGAATGAAGTTACTCCCCAATCTCCTCTGGTTAGGCTCCCGAGTTACACCCTTCTGTCGTGTAACCCGCCATTTCTCCCCCCAGACACTACGCCCGTTTGCCGCGCACTGACAAATCCTGAATCAAAACTGTCGCTGGAAGCCTGTTCTGGCGGTTTGAGGAGTGTGTCTTGTCTGTTTTTGTTGCCAAGCCACGACAATCCTTTTTTTTTCTTTGGCAACGGAGGTCGCAGATGGTGCCTCCGGCTGCAGACAACGCGCGTTCCCCCCGCCTCCATCATTTGTCCATCCAATACGGAGTACATACATTACATTGCACCGTTTCTGTCAATCAGTCCATCCTGAGACTGCAGTCAGCGGTTTAAGGTTGCCGATCTGTCGAAGTCTTTGTTCGGTGGTACCCGTCGCTTTGAGATCCCTAAATTGGTGCTGGCATCAGCGATCTCCTGCAAGGTTGCCTGGTTAACGGATCTACTCCGTACATTGTCATATTCAGCACTTATGCCAACAAAGAGGACAGGATCGAGTCGTTATCAGCCGGATCAACGGTCTCAAAACGTTCTTGAAACACTCAATAGCCGTGCCTAGACTCTTAACCGTCCCTTTGAAAGGAGAAAATCTCGGTCGCTACGGAGTACGAAGTACACCGAGCCGCTGACTGTGGTATGCAGCTACGCACTTTATTCCCGTTGGGACACTTCGCACTCCGTACTCCGCTTAGTTAGTCAACTGTCCAGTTTTGTAGTTATTCTGAACGCCGGGAGTTCGAACCAGGCCGCTTTCAATAGCTGCAGATGCAATTTTTTTTTTTTTTTTTTTTTTTTTTTTTTTTTTTTTTTTTTTTTTTTTTTTTTTTCCATCACCTTTTTCCTCTTTCTCCATTTTATTCTTTCTATCGAAAGAGGACATCATATCGACCCCCCACCGGCAACGATCGGTGATAAAACAGAGTTTCCTACCAGTATCAATCGATGCCAGTGATGCAGATGGGGCGGCGATAATGTATGGAGTATCTCCAACTCTGCAGGCAGACAGAATTCCGGTACCCCTCGGCATTGTCGTTGTCGTTTTCATGCTGTTTTGGGCTCTGGCTTTAGAGCACCAGGATCCGGTGCCTGCTCATCAAAGGGCGTTTTACTGTCTGAGATGGTGCTGGAGCTGACGCCGAAGCAATCGGTCCCTTTTCAACCGCGTCATGCGTGCGCTTTTTCGATGAGCGAGGGGCATCTTTGGAAGACCCTGCCTTGATGCTCTTCTTTGGTTTCGCGGCGTCTCCTGGCGCCATTGGAGGGGTGAGCTGCTACGCATCACTTGGGGGGGGGGGGGGGGGGAAATGCAAAACTTGAAAATTCTTAACTAGTGCAGGTAACCACTGTGGAGGGCGCGTGTGTGGCCTGTTCCTGCGACGACAACGAACTCGCAGGCTTATGACGGCCGTGGAGAGGATCCAGCATTTTCATCCTGCCAGCATAGCCTACGATTTTTACATCCCCAATTCTTGTTGATGGCGTGATCCGCCAGAAGAAAGTGATTATAGGTGTATTCGGTCGCGGGCATCAGGGCTGACTTTCTGTCACAGCCTAACGGTACTCTGTTGCTTTAGGAAATCCGCACCCATGGACATGAAGCGACGAGCAACGATATCGCTGGTGTATCCCTGTCCACGACAGGCACGTCCCTGTGGCGGCAGACGATTGATAAGTACATAAATACTTACATATATGCCAGTCATGTTACCCGCTAGCTTCAGTTAATGCCCCCGTCTCTAACTGGCGGTGCGGTAAGCATGCGACTTAATGCGCATTTTTCCCCTCTCCCACCAAAGGTGGTTTTGGTTTCTCTTTATGTTGACGTCCGACGGCCGAGATGGTGCCTGAACCCATTTCAATATTCATGGATCATTTTCAAACCTAGCCTGGTACCCGAGGTCGCAACCGGGAAACTGCAACGCCCCAATGCTCACGAGTCCAGTGAACCGAAAGAAGGCTGATGCCTCTATCAACATATAACCGTGTGGAGAGCCGGTTGGCGTGGCTTTGGGATGTAGTCACGTAGCGGTCTCGCTGTCACTAAGCGTATTGTCTAAAGCCAAATAAAAATATCTCAAGCACAGTCTATAGCATGTTCATAGTGTTAACATATGGCTGAATTGCCAAAAGGACGGGGAATTGCAGAGGTTCTAAATATTACCACTCCAAGGAAGCTTGTACTCCAGAGATTTCCTGATGAGACAATAGCACTTTGTACCCTTCAGGATGATTTCGCATCTGCACTGCGCGCCACTGAGTTGAGGGATTTTTTTAACCGGGCCAATCCTAGCTGCGAGAGTATTGAAAAGCCTGGCCTTTCTCGGTTTTGCGTCAGATTGTACAAGTCTATAGGTGCGCGAGTGGCCAAAGGGAATGTTACTGGGAGAGATGAATTCGCTCTTGGGGCTTGAGAGATAGGCCAGCAAGATTCAGGATAGGTTAGGTGACTGATTGAGGCTTGGGGGGCGTATAACGGCAAAAAAGTCTCCCCCAGTATTTCTATATCGGATGTTCGATGGGTGGATTTCAGATGACGTGCATGAAACGTGGCGCTGGTTTTGAACTTTTGTGTATCTAATTGAATGTGGCGATTACTGCAACGATATGAACAAGTCTTGTGCAGTCCAGATCCCCTAGCAAGGTAGAAATTCTAACATTGTGCCTATGGGAGTAGAACTGGTCGTCTTATTTGTATATGTAGGCACTATTGACCTACTATAGCCAAAGGGCTATGACCCTATTCCGAAGATGGCCATGGAAGGGATGTATGCAAATTGCATAATAGTCTCTCTGAAGCTTTTCTTTTATTTATTTTATATTTTTAACTTTTAATTTTTAATTTTAATTTTTTTTTTTTTTTTTTTAGGAATTCCTTACTCCGTAAACCGGAATGATTCGAGAAGAATAAAATCTGATATCGCTGCTGAAATCGCCCCCCATGCGTGGGTGTCCTAACGGCATACTTTTCATCCCCAGTCTCTTCGAGCAGACAGAGCATTCCGCGCTTGCCGTATATGCAGCTGCCGTAGAAAGAATCAATCCTGGAAGTTATCTCAAGGTTCACTGATGGTCCCGCCCGCTAGTCACACACCTGTCAGGAATCTTTAATGTCCCGGCGGGTCTTGGTGAACGCACTTGAAAGGGGTCACTAGACATACCAAAGCTGGCTAGTGAATATGCTGATGCGCAATACTCAGATAGTAATCATAAGCCTTATGCCAGCCTTAACTGTGCAAACGCTGCCACGCAGAGCCAACAAGGTTCTAAACCCGCCTTTTGGGTAGGGATCCACGCCATTCGATAAAGTCTTGTGGTTGAAGTGGTCCATGGGCTAAAATCCAGGCATTCCATCAATATCAAAGCCATACATGGACATGCCGGAGGATTGAAACATCAGTTCACTTCAGTAATCGCCTGTAGTCCCTCAATTGGTATTGTGACACAAATCCATCCAATGGTCTCTGACGTGGCATGGTATATCAATTTGCCAAACGGGAGACTGAAGCCACGATGAACTGGGGAAGATAGCATCCTGTCCTGTTGCACTTTGGGGCAAAGCATGGAAATTCAGAGGATTGTGCACATTGCAAAGTTCCTTGTGCAAAGAGCCTTTATCTCCAGGATACCGGCAGTGCTGGGTGCAGAGAGTAATGTCATTTAGGTTTCTCTTCCTAAAATTTTCATCTAGCACACATAAATCTTGCAGTCCTTTCTGCACTGGCGACGGCCCCATTTATCGCTGACACATCTAGACGTGGTGGGGAAATTTGTTGACCCTTGTCAGATGTGAAGCAATAATGGACCTTCATTTCAACAAGCCAGTCTCACAGGATGCAGCTCTGGCTTCCTAGCTGTTATTGTCATCACTTGCAAGATATCATATTGGGGTGCAAGATGCCAGAATAAGAAAGCGAAGACAGTACGCCGCATGGTGCCTTGGAAGCGCCCCAAGGCGTTCATCAGATAAAGCGAGGAATTGGTCTTCCTAATTATGACATTTTTGCAAGAGCCTCAGGAGCAACTGTGTGACTCAGACACCTATAGCCAGTGTCACAAGAAAGATTTAGCTAAATAGGTGATTTCTGGAAAACAAAGCAACTGGTTGGTGACATGGGGAATCAAGTCTCCTCCCATGTGCGCATTAAACTTTTGATCTCAATTGAATGTTTTTGCTCCTTTGTTCCTCTAGTTAGTTACCATGTCCGCCTCGAGTATTGTGCTTGTGGTCAACCTGACGCGTCTGCCAGCTTTCTCAGAGGCCCCCGGAGCGGATTAGGCTGCTTATTACATGAAATCCATCTGCGAAAGCACTTTATGTCCTGTGCGGGGTCTCCGAGGCAGGAGAGGATATCCAGATGAGACCCTGAAATCTCAACCCATGAATGAGGCATTGCCACCCCGAACAAGTCACTGATTTTGGCTCACTACTCATTTTTGAGTTTTCGATTGATGAACTACCACACAGTTTGACAGGTTGTCATGGCCAAGGTGGAAGAGAACTTTGTGCCTTGGGACGACTGTGTCGCTGGTTTCGTGAAGAAGCCCGTCCTCTGTCTGCTCTGCTCGATGGTCTTGGGGATGAGTGTGGACGTGGATAATGATGGGCGCCTGTTGCCCAATACTATGGCACCGTTAGTTAGATATCTATATTGTTCCATCAGAGAAAGCTATGGTCTACTAATCAGCCCTTGAATCAGCAATGCTTGGTGCATTAACTGTTTGCTCCAAGGAGACATGTATAATCACAGTCTTGTCACAAACATTGAGGGCTTTCTATGCAATCCCTGGGCCCATCAGATGATGTTTTGATCCTTGCCTATTGTAGATCATCGTTCGCGCCGGCTATGGCTAGTCCTGTCGCAAGCAACTTATGGTGATAAGCTGGATGAACTGGTTATGGAATTTAGCGGCGCAATAGTGAACTTTGGTTTTCACTGGCATGGGGAGCCACTCAGCAAATATGGTTCATCAAAAATATGATTAAAATTGGTATTACTGGAATGATAAGATAATAGGTAACTATTCTGTAGTGATATGCGATATCCACAATTACACCACAGCACAGTCGGCGTCGTAGGTCGCCGGGTTGATGAAAGATGGAACAGGGTTATTATTGTAGCCCAGGCGGATCAAGGTATTGGCTAAAGGTTGAAGCGACTATTAGCCATTGATTCAAGGGATAGCAACGTGGAACTTACCGTTCTTCCGGTACATAGGCCACCCTAGGTCCCTTAGTCCGGTCCAAGGATTCGCGGCGAAAGTGGCCCAAGCTTTTTGCATGGTCTTCTTCAGTTGAGTCTGTGCAGGGGACTCAGGATCTCCAGTGACACCCTGCGAGTTGCCGAAAATCATATGGAGATCAACACCGTGATATGCAGCGCTGTTGGGAAAGAGTCGAGTATTATCCCAATCAGCGAAGTAGCGATATCTCCAGACAGGAACGTGATAGTTGTTTCTGTAATCCGCCTCCTCCATCGACGGGCAATTGAAGACGTCGGTAACGAACTGCGCCCATTCTGCGTCGGTGAGCACGCTGCCTCTGGCCCATGCAGAGATGTTGTAAAAGGACGATTCCTGGTCCGTGTGGCCAACAATCATGGGCTGGGACCATCGATTAGCTTCTCTCGGGGGCATGGCGTGAACGGTCCACTTACTACACGAGCAAATTTGCCCTGAGAGGCCAGGGAGTGGTAGTCATCAAAAACGATATCGCCGTCTGGAACAGGCTGGAACACTGGCTGAGACCGCGCGACGCTGGTATTTGGTGGCGGTTTAACCGAAGCAGCAGCAGCCTTGAGCTCGACTGCGCTCTTACTCATCATGCAAGGGAGCACATCTCCTTCCGATCCGCATCCAACAAGGGCAGAAGCGTTATACCAATGCTTCGTTGCAAGCTCCCTTGAGTTCAGAGCAAAGCTGAAGATGGTCCCCGAATGTTCAATCAGACCCGCAACAATGGGGTCTTGCGTGTATGCGAAGGCATAAGCATCCACAGAGAGACTGCCAGAAGACTGACCAAAGATAGTGATTCTCTTAGGGTCTCCGCCAAAAGCCTTCACATTGTCTCGGAGCCACTCGACTGCAAGGCGCTGGTCTCTCAAACCCAAGTTCTGAGTTTGACCGGGGGCGCCGGGAAATCCAAAGATGCTAACACGGTAGTTCACGGTGACTACGATAACATCTTCAGCGGCTGAGAAGAACTGGCCGTTGTAGAATGGGGTGTTGGTGTCTCCAGTCGTGAATCCTGAGGCATACAAAATTAGCGATGCCTTTAGCCGGTGGCTGACACAATTGAGGAGTTAAAATTTTTATCTCAACATACTTCCTCCATAGAAGAAGACAAGTACGGGCCTCTTTGCGTTGTTGAGGCATTTTGTCCATATGTTTAGTGTCAAGCAATCTTCGCTTTGGGGGTTGCCGCGTCCTCCGGTAAAGGAGGTAAAAATCTCAGCGAAATTCGGGGTTGCATCCGGGAAGGCGACCAATTTGGATGGCGTGAATACGCAGTCACTGGTATACAGTTTGCATCATAATGTCTGGAAGAGGAACCGCGACGGTCCTTACGAATGCAATCAAAACTTACGCTCCCTGGGACGAGGACTACCGTTAGCTCGGTGGCTCACACATAGGTAACCAGGCAGCCATGGGTATTTATGTGCAACCACCACTTTCATGCTGTACTTACAAAGTTCGAGGCGACATATGGCTCGTTGCCCACGTACCTCTGGGGAGGCTTGAATCGCAGCTGGCCGACCGGGGCTTTTGCGTATGGGATTCCGAGGAATTCCTTGACGCCGGAAGCAAATGGGGCCGGGTGGCCAGTGATCAGGCCGTTTGTGGTGTTGACGGTGAGGCAATCGCCTAAAACTCCCCAAAAAAGGGAGACGGCAGCAAAGCAGAGCCGACCGGAGAGCTTCATGGCCACGGGGAGTCGATGAAACGAGGGCGGCAAGTGTTGTGGATTGTGCAGGGATGGCGATTTGGGGGAGCTTGGGCGGTGTATATAAACGGCCTCAAACCCACCCCGGCAGCCAGGTCTCCGGGCTGGCTGGACGGGGCAAGAAAGCGACAGAGCCCTGCCTCCGCCTAGCCATGTGCGATCTCAGGACCTTCGCGCCATCGAGTCTTGGCCATTATATTCGGCTGAGAGAAACGTAGGCGAGAACACGGCGGGAAATGAACTGGAGGCTAGCCTGTGCTACATCGGCCTCAAAGACATGGCTCAATTTCCGGGCAGGACGTAAATAACTAACTCAAGTTAGATTCATCACTGGTCAGTTAACTAGTCATCACGCCATCGAACGACAATTGACAAGCAAGCAGCCTGCAGAAATTCAAGCGCAGGGGCCCAGAGTGGGCAGAGGAATGAAAAAGACAGCGAGGTGGAGAAGAGCAGCGACTCCCCGATCCCCGACGGAGGAGGCATCGTGAAGGCCAAACTGACTCCGGGGCGCCGGATCCCACACTGCCGGGACTTCGCCCGATCGCAGGCAGACTTCGACACCATCGTGGATGTGGATAACTTGTATCCGAAGTAGTTTAGTTAATATGTAGCTATTTTAGTGTCAGCAAATTTGCTAACTAACTAATGACTCCGTGGTTAAGTCTCGCCACCAGGGACGATGTTGCCGACCGCCAATCAAGATGCCAGCCGGTTTTCGTCACGCACGCCGGTTCTCTGCGATCGTGATCCTCCCGTACCGCCGTATAACGCACTACAAGTTGGCATCGCGTGGCAGTTCAACATCGTCTGGGGCTTTGCAGCCCAGAGTCAGACTGCCATCACTCGAAGAGCCCCCATCCGTGTAACTACGCAGCCCCCCTGGAGCGGCGAGCTTGACCACCCACAGACGCGGTTATGGCATCGATGGGCTGCCGTCAATTAAGCCTTTTTTGCTTCCGTAACCTACCGCCGAACCTCTCTTGCCTTCGCTTCTCGGCACCTTTTTTTCTTGCAGTTTGAGTTCAAACTTTCCGGCAAAATGAAAGGATGGCTCCAAAAAAGCTTTTCCCTCGAGAAAATCTTTTCAACTACGGAGTAGTTATCCCACAGCGAACTATCTACCCGCTCCTCAGGCTGAGACATGAGCAGGAGTTACGGAGTATCATGTAGCAGTTGGCTAACGGAATACACAGTCATGGATCATTGCTCGAGCTGCTTCACAACTACTCTCCTCCAAACCTGAGAACAAGGCACGCATGATCCGTGCGCAGGAGCTTTGGGCGGCCCTCCTTTAGCTTTCTATATCTTCCCCCCGCCCAGAAACACGACCTTCGCTTAGAACCCACGGTATCGGGGACACTAACTAATCATAATATGGAGTACCCTATGCGAAATGGAGCACCTTGCATGCTCCGCTGCACACTCACTGGCTATGTGCTGCTTGACTCCCCCCGCTGTCATGCATACGCGGGATCGATGCTATGTACTCTTTGCTTCCGTAAGATCGTTCGAAAAATATGTATGCCGGGGCTTGTGGGAGAGGCTCTCCCTCCTCCGCAGATGTTGTGATCCACATTCCCCCTGGGCCTAATCCTTTTCCACTCCTCAAGTGTCTCTTGATGATAACCGCTGGGCCCGTCCGGGTATGGCTATTGGGAACATTTGAAGCAAATGGACGCATTCCTTTTGACACGGTACCGTTCCGCCATGATACATATCATTCATCATCTTGGGGCTTGCCGTCTGTTCACTTCGATCTTTATCTGACAGCGCATCTCGGTCTCGCAACCGCCAACGGCACGTCAGATGCGGCTGATTCTTAACCTTTTTCTTTTCTTTTCTTTTTTTTTTTTTTTTCCTTCCCTTTGATCTACTCCCCGCCTCTCTCCTTACTCTGCACCCTTGATCCTCTGGATCTTCCCTCCGCCCTTTTTCCCCGTATGCGGGGATTATCAGCGCAATGACTATCAACTATGGACAGGGCACACCGTCGGCCCCCAGCAGAGGGTACCAATTGTATATAACTGCCTTGGTCATGGTTTTAGTTGCTGCTCTGTTTGTCTTTGCGCGCATTTTCTCGAGAATCGCCACAAAGCGGGTTGGGCTAGATGACTATCTGGTCATTGCTGCGCTGGTAAGGGGGACTGCCCGTCGATCAGCTTGTTGCGCCTGCGTGGCGCAATTTTTTTTCTTAACCGCTACCTAACCTTAAGCCTTGTGTCAGGTATCTTCGGTATTCTTGACAGCGAGCATCAACCTAGGCAGGTTTTCCATCGCTCAGTCCACCGTCAGCCTGTCATGTTAACATGCAGTGATAGCCGTCGTTCACGGATATGGAACCAGATCTAGTGACTTGACGTCGGCGGATAAGAAGCTTGCTCTGAAGGTTCGCTAGCAACTGCCTTGATAATATCTACCTGTTTTGGTCCCTTCACAGATCTAAGCTAAGATGTAAACTATGAACAGTGGTTTTTTATAGCCCAGCCTCTCTACAAGTTAGTCCTCGGATTCACAAAAGCCGCAATCGTATGTCTTTACATTCGAATTTTCGTCTCAAAGCTATTCCAGCGTGTATGCCGCGGCGTGCTGCTTGCGGTGACGATTTGGGCCGTCGCTGCTCTCTTGGCGACCATTTTCCAATGCCTTCCGATTGAAGCATCCTGGGACAAGTCAATCGCCCACAAATGTATAAACAAGAATGCGTTTTGGTATGGCTTTGCGGTGACAAATACATCCCTCGATTTCATACTATTGTTGTTACCAATTCAGCCTGTGTTGAAACTCCATCTCCACTGGAAGGAAAAGGTCGGCTTACTGGGAGTATTTGCCCTGGGAACTTTGTTCGTTGTGACCACCCCCCTAAATAGTAGTTGTTTACGCTACTGACCAGCGGCCCGTAGCGTATGTATTACGAGCATCATTCGAACCACTGCCGTTGCGCAAACCACGACCGGTCCAAAAAAAGATATCACCTGTAAGTCACATCTCCAAGCTGCTGTAGCGACGGGGTATTACCCTAACTGTCTTCAGAATGCTAATGGCGTACGTAGGGGACTTCATCCCCCGTTCTGTATGGACGTTGGTTGAGGCAAATACGGGTATAATATGCGCTTGTCTGCCTATTCTGAAGGGGCCGCTTGGTCGCCTTTTCCCCCGTCTATTCCACCTATCCACTGGCAAAGGTACCAACAATCGATACGGTTCTGGACGTGTGAACTCCTATGTTCTTCAGCACCGAGCCGGCCACGAAGTGAGTGGGAACCAAGTTACGAACATCAGCACTGGGGCCGGAAGAAAGGGGGCGGAGAGCGGGGATCCTTATTCTAGGAGAAGCAGCGAAGAGTACATTATTGACTCGAAAGACAATCACTCGCGAGATGGGATGGAGCCAGGAATAATGATGAAGAGAGAGATTGATGTCTCATATGAAACTGAGGCAGAATCATCGCGGTCCCTTAAGCAAACAGATGAAAGATTATGAGGCATATTTAAAAGACAAAAAGCGTTGCATTTGTTACATGGTATGACAAGATAAGCAGATTGAGTTATTGATCCAGAACTCACAAAACTTGGCCATCTACTGTGTAGATTTGTAAAGACAATATGGTTTAAGATGGGAACATATCTCATTTGTTGGCAAATATAAGCTTGCCAATTTGGATGACGAATGGAAACAAATCGTCATTTTCCCATAACCATCCTAGGAGTTACAGCACGTAGAACTCTATTCGAATAGAAAGACAAAACAGAGTTCGGCTGGAAAGAAATAATAATAATAATAATAATAATAAAATTCTTAGGATTGTTAGCTATGTACTTAGACGGGCCCGCCACCAATCCAAAGCTTTGTAGAAGTGTATATACAGTCAAATGAATGTGCTTTCAAGAGATTCCATTGCAAAGGGCCTTTCCCCACGCAGCCAACCACCTCCTTCTATCGCCTAATCTCCATTGACATTCCCCCTGTCACACCACTCCGATTTCCGTGAGGTGCGGCGGTAGCAGTGAGATGGCCTGTTTAGGAGGACTCCTTCGGAGGGGGAAGAGGGGGCTATAAGTCTACATTAGTATCACCCGAGTCAAGTAAAAGGTGATTTCAGCTTCATCAGTGTATAGGTATGAATATTTACTCACAAGTCTCGGGTAGTTCTCGGGTCTGACAGGACCCTTGCAGTAGTCTGGGTCACCAAGACTACAGCACAAGCTAATATCATTGATGAGAAAGGCGCCATGGGGATTGAGACGATTAGTCTAATTCTACCCTGTATTCAGCATCCAATTACATTCTGTGCATTTGTAAATTCCTGATGCATAATGTCTCCAGCTTGTTGACATAAAGACATAAACTGTTCAACCCATTTCTGGTCATACTGGTCAAGTTCTGCAAGACCCTGGCAGTATGCATCTTGATAACCGCACAGGCCTTGCATGAGGACATTCCGCCGCGGGCAGGGCTGTATGATCCCATCCATCCAGCTCATTTGTGGGTTGCATTTGAACACCTGGATTGCACCCATCATCGCCACCCGCCCGCTGAATACAAACGTCCGTGGCTCCACTTTGATGCGGTTCTTCTTCAACCACCGCTTGGCAAGGCCACTGTGGCTGCAAGAGACCATCTCTTCAAAGAACCATGAGACAAAGATGAAAACAAGAAGCCCGACCCCATCCCATCCCTTCTGAGCAGCGACAAACGTCATGCAGGCAAGTTGCAGAAATGAGAGGAACTGCAGAAGGAATGCAAGTGTCATGACGCCGCCGTCGCCGAAGATAGTGGTGATAGATTGTATCATCGATTTGTTCAAGAGATTATCGACAATGCCTCTATCTCCGACGTACAGGTACCACGTAGACGCATTCTGGTGGATCGCGCTGAGCATGCACGCATCCATCCTTTGGCCCTCGTTGTCTTGAAGGTAGTGTGGTGCGCGTTTGATTATGACAAGCCGGCGGCAGATGCGTAGCAGGAAGGCGACGATGATGGAACCTGCAGTCCCATACATCCCAAACAAAGAGCAAAACGCTGTGGCGCCGCCAAGCATGCCCAGCAGGATGACTTCGACAACAACGTCTTGTAGGACGGTGATGGTCTTTGCTCGATGCGGATGACCCGGGCCCTCCTCTCGAGAGAAGCGTAGGACATGCAGAGTCTGATACCGCCGAAAGAGGGATGTGCTCGGAGGTGTTATAGCAATATTTCCCGCACCGGGCTTGGTAGTATTAGGGGTTTTGGCGACCGTCTCGGGCATGGGGATAGTCTTGGCCTGACGGACGCTATACGCTGTGATCATACTGCTTGCCGCACCGTTCGCACAGGGAAACACAGAGCCCCAGTTTGCGTCCCATACTTCACGACGCAACTCTCCAATCGAACATGCTTCGTCCAGAAAATTCGGTCCTTCTTTAAGGAGCCGAGCAACGGTCGTGAGGACATGCAATTTTGGAAAGAGGCCGATTTGGAGACGGCCGGACAATGATGCCATTCCAGCAAATCGGTGGCCTTCTTGCGGCCTCGCAAGATAGGTGACTAGAGGGATCAGGGCCGCCAATTCGAAAAGTATGGCGAAGCCGCTATCGCTACCTGTGCCAAAGCTGAATGGAGGGTTAACCCCCAGTGTCCCTGAACCATCGGAATCATCGACTGACTTCGCCATATTGTTGCAAACTCTCCGTCCATTTCCCCCCCTCGATAGAAGAGCGTTGGGCTTTTATCGGAGAGAAAATTGGCGAACCCAACAAAATGCAGCCTAACTTGTTAAGTAGGCGAGTGATCAAACCAGTTAATCAGCCTTGCAAAAAATTTAGCTGGTTTAACAATGCAATAGGTTACTCCATATGGAGCAGGAAACTAATGCATATAATAACCGGGATACGCAGTTAGCCTTGCGTGTCTGGCCCTCACTTGTTGCACCACACCGACCCAACAGGGCTGTGCTGCTCACCCACCGAAGACCTTCATCGTCATCATCATCATCATCATCATCATCAGCAGCAGCAGCATGGTTCCATCTGTCCTCGCCTTCCGCCGAAGAAGAAATACGCTCTCACACTCACTATGGCGCAGCACTTAACGTACAACCGTGTCCTCCAGATCTTGAGGGACAGCTGCTCCGGGAGAGAAACATTCTTGTCCAAAAGTACAAGAATGCCTTCGGAACTTAAGGCGTTTGATCCCGAGCCAGGCACCCTGTTCAATCAAACCTTCCAGCATCTTGACGAATTTGTGAATCTTCCTACCGGGGGTGCAATATTCGGCCTTACTTCCAAGACGAGCCGACAAGGGCTGACAAAGAAAATCTGCCAAGTCCTCTGTCAGCAACTCCACGACCCAGTGGACCATATCGAGCGCCTTGATAGGGCTTTTTCTGAGTTCCTGTATTTCGAGATATTTGATGGCCGCGTGGCTGATCCAGAATCGCTTGCGAGGGAGACATACCGGCTGTTGACGCGCCTTGTGCCCGATGAGCAGCCCTACTGGGAACTCAATGCCGAAGCAACCTGCAATACTCTCACTGGCCACTTCTTCCATCCAGGGCGCCCCGAGAAAGTACCACATCGACTCAAAGCGTCCACCTTTTTTGATCGCAATATAGTATGCACGGCAATTCACACGGTCTTAGAACCGCTCGACGAAACGGGTTCGTCGTTACGTCTAACCGGTTATATCGACCTTCTCGCACAACTACTCCAAGCCGCATTAGACATCGTACCAGGCGGCCGTGTATTCACTCCAGGAAACTTGCTAGTGCTGAGGACATTTCTCTGGAAATCCTTGCAGAGGTCCGTTACCTTATACTGTTGGTCGTTGGTTAAACACGGCAACCGGGAAGTTTGGATGGATGTCACCCACCGCCAAACTTTCCATGTCCAGCGCTTTCGGCGTGTGATCGCAGCAAAACGAGATCAGGAGCTGCTGTCGGAACTTCCGGCATATCTATGCCCATGGGCTTTTGAGTTGATGCGGACACATCCGGCTGCAGCTGGTGTAGATCCCGCGTACTTTATTCATTTATTCTCTAAGCATTTTGGGAACCTATCTGCCAGGTGCATCATGAATCCAGATGGCTCTTTTCGGCAGTGCGATGGAACTGGGCCCTTTGGATGCACCCGATTTACGGGGGCGGTGATCCATGACCAGTCTGCGCACCAGGAATCTTGTGATAGAAAATGTGCAAAGCTATACTGGGATGAGGACTCCTACCGTCAAGTTCATGGCGCTAGGGCGGTGAGATTGGAAGAACCAAGAAAAGGTCTTCTACAATACTGCGCTGCTTCCAGCTCAACCATGGCAATATCCCATGTTTGGAGTCATGGTCAAGGTGGTCGCCCGGAGCGTCCGAGAGATGGGGTGCCCTCAACCGGATTCAATTCTTGTCTTCACCAACGATACTCCACCATTGCACGCCAGATGGGCTGCAATTCATACTGGATAGACACTGCCTGTATTCCTCAAGACCACCAACTGCGAAGAGAAGCAATTAGCCAAATCAATGACATCTTTGCCAATAGTCGATCTACGCTGGTATGTGACCGAGACATAATGATGATCAGTATCAAGAAGAAGACATTTGCCGTGCTGGAGTCCTTAATGGCCGCCTTACTTGTTTGTGACTGGAACAGTAGAGCTTGGACCCTTTTAGAAGGGACTAGAGGCGCCAAGGTCGTTAACCTTCTCTGCAAAGATAACCAGACTATTGAGCTGAGCGAGGTCATTCAAGCTATGTATAGCAGGGGGCGTCTCTCCCTGGCAATTCTCTGCCTGACTCTCGACCACTTAATGGGAGCCGCGGTTGTAGGGGGAGAAACCTTCCGACTGACCGAGCGTCAGCACAAGTATACCGAGACAACAGCAGCGACTCTTTTAAGCCATCGCCATGCCAGTCGTGAGGGAGATGAGGTTGTAATCTGGAGCCTACTGTGTGGGAGACTAGTATATACTGCCGAAGAGTTTTGGCGGGACGCAAAGCATATCAAGACTGGATTTTTGATCTCCGATATCCCAAGGCTCGAAGGGGTTCCAGGGTTCAGCTGGGCCCCAAGACGGCCAGGCCTGGCGTCGGGTGGTAAGATTGTTGCCCGGCGCGAATACCACCAACGGCGCATTCTGGAGGTTATGGATAGTCAAGCTGGTAGCATATGCGCGGACGGGCTCCAAGCCACGTGGAGTGTCTGTGATATGGCGGATGTGAACTTTTTCTCCAGCCTCTATCAGTGTTTTATGCATTGTATTGGCGCCCTTCACTCCTTCGGGAGAATATTTTGGAAAATGGTACTCTGGAAACAGCTGGAAACCGCCCTATATTATTGGCAGATGGCTTGCGCATCTTTGGATATGCGCCGCCGTTTCCAGCTTATTTCCCATGATGTGCAGGCTCCTATGCATCGCCTTGCTCTCATACGACCGTCTTCTTCATCGGACATTTACGATGGAGACGCAAAGGAGGCTTCTATGGCAGTGATAGAGATCACAGGCAGAGGTAC